TGAGACATATCTTCTCTACGTCTCCGTTGAGCTCAAATTCTGGACCGTGCCATCAATTCCACCAAGCAATCCCAGCCTTCGATTATCATTTAAATTCGCTCATCAAATTAAATGTTGATTTTTTATTAACCTCAACATTTTTAGTATTTTCTAATTCAAATGCTTGTGTTGTGTTATTTTATGATGGAAACAGGTGATAGGAAAACTTCCCTAATTTTATACTTTCCATTTTGTAGTAAATTTTCATTCTAGCTTTGCAATCCGTTCTTGTCTCTGGTCTAAGATTTTTTATGTCCTTAGGTTTTTTGCACTCCTCTAAAACAAACGAGTAATATGAATATGACACTTTGCTCAAAAAAAAAAAATGAATATGACACTTTTTTTTGAGATTTTTCTTTTCGAACGCCAAACCAAATTTTTCCAAAATTGCCATGAACATTCCATATTGTCAAACCCAAGAATAAGTTAATTAGGAGTCAAATTTATATTCATTGTATAAGCCTGTGACAGGTGAACCAATTATAAATAAAACAAATACAACTAAGAAAAAGCAAGTAGGGCTCCACAAAGAACTAAATGACACTGAATTTCAACTTAATTCAAAGTCTGATCTCTTCAGTAAAAAGAATTGGATTAAGCAACCTGTAGTCTGATCTTATTTAATGATAAGTCAAAAATTAATGGAATCAGACTTGATCCATAGGATTGAAAAACTGATCCTGTTAGTCCAGCACTCACTTAACTTTTTTTTTTTAATTTCAACATAATAAATTCAACTAAGATAATAAGATCACTTATAATCACAATAAATACAAAATAATTTTCAACAAGAAAAAAAATAACAATAACAATTTAGAAATAAATTCAACAAATTTTCATGCAATCATCTTCTTAGCATAAATTACACTTAAACCATTTGTTAAAAATAAATTAATTATAATTATATTAAATAAATTAATAGGATCAAACTGGACCAAGTGATCCAGATGTCCAGTTTTCTATAACCTAAAAAAATAATCTTATCTTTTTTATCTTTTTAGTCTTGAAAGGCCAATGTTTATAAGAATCGAACAAAATAGAACCATCTTGAGTTAGATTAGATCAGACAAGACTAAAAGACTTTTGTGAAGTCCTGGAAGCAAGAATGGAGTTAAAAACAAATCCAGTCAGCCAACACGTGTAAGCCACAGAGAAGCAAGAACAAAGTTATAAAACTAAACTGAAGCTATACGTATGTAATACAAAAACAGACGTCTGAAACTAGCAATCAAGTGAGCAATAGAAACACACATATATAACTGTAGGTATATAAACTTGTTAGAAAATGAAGAAGCAACCATGATGAAGACTGAGACAATTTCCCTTATTCTTATTAAAACCCAATTGTTGTTGAAGAAGAATGAAAAACAAATTAAATTGAAATGGCAATGGAAGGCTGGAATTGCTTGGTGAAATTCACAGTCAAGATTTTGTTTTCTTATTGAGATGCAGTGCGGCGAGGAGCGAAGCTGATCGCCAGACAGACACGGGCCTAAAACTTTTCATCCTAATCTACATGCAAAATTGTTCAATCTTGATTTTGTTAGTTTTAATAAATTGAAGAATTTCGTTAACCTATACTCCTCCAAATCCGATATTTAATATTAGGCAAAGTTAACTAATTTGTGCTTATTAACAAATGTTTGATATAACGTGGGAGTTGCAAAAAAGATGCGACATTCCAATTTTACCCTTTTTTATAATTAATAATTATAATAAATTATTAATTAAGAATTCAAATATGACAATAAATAAACACCGGTAAAATTGAAAAAAACATTAATTATTTTAATTTAATCTTATAATAAGGATTGAATGGAGGATTTTTAAATATATATATATATATATATATAACTATACTTAAGCTGAATCAGAAAGGCATTTTTTTCAAAGTTATATGTTAAAAATTATAAGGTATTTTTAGTTTTTAAAAGTATAATTAATAATTTTTAAAAAAAATTCTTAATAAATAAACTATTTTACCTTTAAATGAGACACGCTATTAAAGGTAAATATTAAAAGATAGTATCAATTTAAAGATAATTTAATAACTTATTGAGGGATGTAATTTAACTAAAAATATCTTATATTTTTTAATGGAATGAGTAAGTAGATATATTATTCAGTAATTTAAAAGTTTCACACTAATATATTGCACTTGTTTTATCTATTTTTAAATTTTAATCTTATTTTTACTCATCATAAAACAAATTTTTACAAATGAATAGAAAATTGTTATTTTAATCCAAGAAAAAATTATAAAGAATCTAAAGGGAATTATAAATGAGTTTTGTTTGGTCAAAAATTAAACAAAAAAAATCCTAATAACTAATAAGTATCATACATGGTCGCATCATTGCCGATAAAGTTTTTTCAACTGATAAAAATTTGGTTTATATACGTAAGGCTGTGGTTTAAAAATGTCAATGGAATGTCATTTAAATTTAATTCACCTAAACTTTCACTTAGTTATGAAAAAAAAAGGAAAAACTACACTATCATAAGCTATGATAAGACTGTTGATCATAATAATAGAATTTTTACGTATATGTATAATTTTAATCCCTACAAATGTTTGTTTTTGTTGCAATCAAGTTTAGTTTTCTATGACAAAAGACAATTGAAAAAAAAAAAAAGAACTGAACAGTGAAGTGAAAGTGCCCAACACAAAAATTTTCTGCTCCTACCAAAAAATTTAAATAAAAAAATAAAAATATACTTACAGATCCTTGCAATTTTATTCAATTTTAAATTAGGTACTTGCAGTTTATTTTATTTTAATCAAATTTTATAATTTATTTATTATATATATTGACCCCTAAAGGTTAAAATTAATAATAAATTAGTATTAAATTTTACAAAACAAAAATACTTTTAGAGTTTGGGAGAAAATTTAATATAATACTTTTAGCAAAAATTGAGAAAATAAAAATTGATTTAATCCAATTTATATATTTTTATTATAATTTTTTATGAAAATTCTACATGTATAAAAAATATTTAGAAGACAACCTAATTATATAAATTTTGAGTTATAAAAATTATGTAATTACTTCTGAAGTCATATAATCATTTAATAAAAATATGAAAATTCTTAATTTTTTTAAAGGAAAACTGTAAGGATTTTAATTTTTAGGGATTAAAAAATTTAATTAGTTAAAGTATAAGGGCTCCATTAAAATAAAATAAGCCACAGGGACCTAGTTCAAAATTGATTGAAAGTGTAAGGACCTACAGATATGTTTTTCAAAAAAAAAAAAACAGCAAACACCCACATGTTCGTTCAATATCAAGAATAAATCCTCCAGAACCCGAATAAATCAAAATAAAGATTAAAATACGTATGTTTGTTTTACATTGAAAAATAACCATTAAAATCACCAAGATTTTGGTGGTGTAATATAAATTATATATTTATATATATATATATATATATGTAGGATCAGTTATATAAATAAAAAGGAAAAAGATTTCAATATATCTTGGTGATAATAGAATAAAAAAAACAATCGACAAAGAAGAAGAAACAATAGAAATTGGAGAAATACATAGATAGATTGGACACACCACGTCATTTATAGTCTGTCCAATAAAAACATGATATTTAGATATTATTAAATATAAATTAATTTTTATATTAATGATAGTAGAGAAAAAAAAGGTAAGAAATCAAATATGAATTATGTTGTAAAAATAAAATCAATTTAAAAAAATATCACACAAGATTTTATTTAACTTACTTGAAGTATTTTAATTGGAAAGATTATAAATGACATGATGCACCTGATCTATCTAAGTATTTCTCTAGAAATTGAAGTGAAATGAGAAAAAAGTGGAAAATTAAAATATCTTAACCAATAGTACTTGTTTGCATACAGATCTCTGTGGAGCAAACTGGCAAAAGAAATTTTTCGAAAGATTGAAATTTCTAGTACTCGAGAGGTGACAACAAACGGACGTCGAAGCCAAGTTTCCACAATCCATTTCAAACACATCTGAAGAGCTAGTAATCACCAGAAACCATCCTGATGCTGTCTCTTGATTTTCGACCACTGTATTGATCGTGCATCATAGTTTCATTAATTGGTGAGAATCATAATGCTAAAAGAGTTAAGGTTATCAACTTTCACCTTCTACAATTTAACATGACATTTTGTAGAAATCCAAGTACGCTTAAAGCAATAACAATAGAAAAAAATAAATAAAAAATAACTATAGCTGGTACGATGGAGTGAGAATCTATTATATTGTATAATAGAAAGCAAGATTTCATAGGGCCAAAAAAAAATACAAAGAAGAAGAAAGAAAAGAAAGAAAGAAAGCAAGGTGTTTCCATGTGGCCAATACTGAGAATCTATTCCTCTCTTTTGTTGACACTCGTTGACCTAAGCACTCACCAACCAACCAGCATTTCTTTTTCAAACTCACACATTCACTTATATTGAGTATAATATTATCATCCATATGTGATCACTCGTCTCAGTGTTTTCTTTTAATTTTTTTTTACCCTTTTCAGTGATACATATCAATGTTATTTCATTAAAAATATTTCATGGTTTCTTTTTATATCAGCCAGCCAGTTTTTTATGTTGAAATATTAATTCGTGATAATTTCAATTTCTCCACTTTCCTTATATTTTTCTTCGGGTTTCTCGAGAAAAGAGAGTTACGCGGCAAATATAGAGTGTGAGCTGTGTACTTACTGGGCAGCTTCGGCCATTGTTGGTCTCTGTTCGTTGACATTCTGACATTCTGGGATACCACCAAAGAAACCGCTCTCTCTCCCAACGTTTTTCATCACATTATCATCCAAACGGTTCATGCACTCTCCTGTTTTACTGTCATTCATTATTTCCTCACCTATCTATCACATCGCTTCTTGTTTTTAACCCTCTCGCTCTCGCTGAAAAATCATTCCATTATTTCGTTCCTCATTATCACCACCCATTCTCCGTGTAACAATGGGTTCATTGTTACTGATGATCAGAAGTACCTGTCGGATCTTCTTTTTCTTCGTTTTCTGAGTATTTGATTTGCTTCCTCTTCAGTGTTGTTTTCGATTTCAGCTGAAAAGGCCCCAGCGAGAACGAAGAGCAAGGACGTGGAACTTTGATAGAAAAGTTCGAATTATATACACAGACCCAGATGCTACAGATTGTTCCAGCGAAGAAGAAGGTGAAACCCTGGCCATGGCTCCAAGCGATTTGTGAAGGAAATTCTTGTTCCGACCAAATCATGCGGCAGAGGAAACACCAAAAAGAGTCCCAGTTTTTCCGTCGCCGGCACCAGGCGGGGCCCGAGGATCGGAAATCGTCAGGCTTGCCGAGAGGAGTACGACGTCGTAAGTGGGGGACCTACGTGGCGGAGATCCGAGATCCGATTCGAAGGGTCCGAATGTGGCTCGGAACCTACAATACCGTCGAAGAAGCGCTTTGGCTTATGAGAATAAGAGGACGGAGTTCGAAATCTTGATGATGACGTCCAACTCTTCTCCATCTTCCGTGCTTGATAACGTCATCCCTTCTAATAAGAATAATAATAATAATAATAGACTAACAATAACAACAACCGCAATCAATCTTCAATGGGTAGTAGCAGTGAAAGTGACGGTTCTGTGAAAGAGACTGTGAATGCAGAACAGTATTCTCATGAAGAAGAAGAAGGATACATTCAACATTTGTTAGAAGAGCCAACTGTGCCATCATTGGAGGATAGAGAAATGGCGTTTGGTGGTGAATCTGATAATAATTTGGTGATTAATTATAACAACAACAACAAAATAGCATTGACGTTAATGGGGGTTTGATCTGCGAGGATGATAAGGAGGAAGAAGGTGAAGCAGGAATCAGCACTGTTCCATCTTTTGAAAGTGAATCTAGTGATGCAGAGTTAGGTTGGATTGATGAAGCTCTCAATGATGAAGACGACGAAAGTTTCTGTCTTGTTTGATTTTGATAGAAATGGAGGTTTTGGGAATTAGCTATGTTTTCCAGATTTGAATATGTTTATGAGATGAAACTGCTTATTTTTCTTTTTTTGTTTGCTGATACAATTGTACGTTGGTACATCTAATTTTGTTTCCAGACTTCATCAAAACAAGAAGGATATATTTATTGCCAGTTCTTTTTGCTTTTTGTTTGCTTCTTATCTTCATTCATTCATTCATTTCATTTTTCAATTTTCCATATTGTTGTTTTGTTCTGCTTAAGTTGGCGAGGAAAATGTTTTCTGAATCGGTTATGATACATTGGGATTCCTTTTTTTTGTGAAGGCGGGAGAAAAAGGCTGCTTGGTTATGAGATATCTGTTGTTTGAAAGTGAACCGCTCCTATCGAAATATGTGACTCCAACTATCAATAAACGAAACACGACATTTTCTTGAATACAATCCAGCTATTCACCACTACATTATTGAGATTGTAATAAAAATCACATTTTTCAGAAAGCAGTTACGGAGCGTTAAGATTGCTTTTTACAAAGGCGGGAAGAGAACGAATATAAGGTTAAAATATATAAAATTTTCTTAAATTAAGAGAGTTGCATATGACGTCTTTTTTTATTTAATATTTAAAATTAATATTTTAATCTTTTTTTTATTTTTCAAAACTCCAATAATTAATTAATTATTATTTTATTAATATAGTTATTTCATGTCATATTAATGCAATACATATGGCTTATGACATGGAAAAATATATTTTTATTATTTTTTAACATAATTTAAGGAGGGTAAAATTGTAATTTTCTTAACATACATGACAATGCTCTCATTTTTTTGTTGAGCATTATTGTTCTCATTGTTTACGGGTAATACAATTAAGTGAAAAATTATAATTTTATTATTTTTTATCAATTAAAATAGTATTTTGTATTAAATAAATTAACAAAATCTAAAAGTTATCACTGATAAGAATTATATAAATAAAAATTTATCCTTTAATATAAAAAACTAGGATATTCTGCAAGTTATTTTTAACAAAATCAATACACATCACCAATAACAAAAAATTATCGTATTCTAAAGCAGAACATACTTTTTATTTGAGCAAGTACTGAAAACTTTATCCAAAAGGAAAAATAATAGCTACAAATAAATAAGACTTTGAAGAAAATAAACAAAACAGGTAACGAAATTTATATGGCTTTCATTAATATCAGTTTCTCAATTTTTTTATTTGTTTAATATAAAAAGACTATTTTAATTGATAAAAAATTATAATTTTTTTCTTAAATTGTATCACCTGTGAATAATGAGAATAATATCACTTAATTAAAAAAATGAGAGGATTGTCATTTGTATTAAAAATAAAAATTACAGATTTACCCCTCCTTAAATTGTACGTGTTAAAAATATTAAAAGTATTTTATATGTCATGTGCCATGTCTATTGCATTAAATAACATGGCAATCACTGTATTAATAAAATAATAATTAATTAATGGCAGGGGCTTTGGAAAACAAAATCAAAGGTTATGGAAGTTATTTTAAATATTGAAAAATGAGGGGTTATACGTAGCTGTTTTAAAGTTTAGAAAGGTTTTTATGCATTTTAACTCAAATGTATTAATGATAAAATATCTATTAAATAAGATATTAACATATGATGTAAATCATGTGACTCAACTTATTAAAATGCAGTGTTTATCATGTCATCTTTGTATAATAATGTCTATCCCACTGACTGCTAACATACTAGCACTTGATGATCTTGTCTCAATCTTATGTTACGGGCAATTCATGTTAAGATGTTTTTACATATTTAATTTTTTAAAAAAATGAATTAAGGTGTATTTTTATCTTTAAAATTTTTCTCGATAAACAATTTTACTCCTATATTGATAAGTGAGGCAATTTTATCTCTAAATTATTTTTCCAAAAAGATATAGTAACCCTGCAAAAGGGTTTTTTTTTGCGACTAAAAAATAATTCACAAATAAAATTGCTTCACTTATGAGTATAAAGGTAAAATTGCTTCTTGAGAAAAGTTCAAGAGTAAAAATGTATCTTAATCCTTCTTAAATTGATGCTCAAGATAAATCGTGCAAGAAGACGATAAAATTAAATGGTTGTTTTACATGTTTAGTGTTGGTTCCAAAAAATATTCCACAACCAAAATGTCCCTTGAAGAACCAAAAGCATGTCATGGCACAACCTTCTCAACGTAGCAAACATGCATGTTAGATTTTGGGGTTTGGGGTTAGAGAACCCAAACAATGTCTCCACTAAGCCATCAATCTCTTGAAGAATAAAAGAGTTTTTCTTAATTGTGGAAAATAGTGAAAGTATTTTATTGGAAAATCTATGTTGGAGAGAATCGTGACACATTAACGAGTAATGAATGAAAATAAAAGAAATAAATGCAATGCTAATGTATATTGTAGTACTATAGTTTAATATTATGGAGATATTTACGTTCCTTAACGAGGCTACCACAAAACCTACTTCTTTTTCCTTCATAGTTGACCTATCATTCAATAAAAAAGTACCAATCTTCTTTTATAAAAAAAAAAAAAAGGTACCAATCTTCATTGTAGTAAAAAAAACTAGTGTGCCTTTCAAAATAAAGGCATATTTTAAAGCCCAATGCAGATGATGATACTTTATCTTAGAAGCCTTCTAATGATGATAATTTTACCATCAAAATTATGTATAAGACTATTGAAAATTACTGTGATAGCAACAACTTCAAGATGTGATCTAAGATCTAGAAATGGCCAACTTATAAGAAAATCAAATCTTTCGAAAAGTGGCTTGAGATCACCTTCAATCCAAATTCACGTGTTCTAATGGGAGCAATCCTTGTATTAGGACATGCTCCTTTGGGTGTAACTCTTTAAATTCTACTATTCATATTTTAGAGATTGCAAAAAATCATACGATGTTTGGACAAAAGTAGTTAAACAATCTAAACTTAACACTTTCTTTTCTCTCCCTCTACAGGATTAGATAATTTGGAATACGAAAAATGATGCAAGCAATGCATGTGTAAGAAAAACCTTTCAGCAGAGACTCTATGCCCATGTGTGTTGGAACATATGGAAAGAAAGGTGCAAAAATATATATTCTGAAAAAGATACCAAAAACAAAGATATTACTTTCACCAACATCTAAGATATTCTCAAAGATCAATACCTTCAAACTAAAATTAATTTCCTATCTCAGAAGGGCGATAGAGTAATAGCTAGATGGTTTACCCTTGAAGAAGGATGGGTTAGATTAGATACTGATAGCTCCGTTAACATTCACGGTGCAGCTAAATGCGGAGATCTTATTCGAAACAACCAAGGTAATTGGATTAAAGGATATTCCAAATACCTTGGTAGTATCCAAGTGCAGCAGCTAAGCTTATGGGCATCTTATAAGGTTTAAACATTTAGTGGGATAAAAAGTTTGATAAAGTTAATGTCTACTCCGACTATACATAAGCTCTCTCGCTAATTCATAATGAGTTCTCTACTAATCAATTAATGTCTACTCTGACTCTATAGAAGTTCTCTCGCTAATCCACAATGAGTTTTCTACTAATCACCCATTCTCTGCAACTACCAATAAAATCATAGATCTCACCATATGAGGTTGAACAATCATGTTTGACTACACTTTCAGGAAAGCAAACAAATGTGCCAATTAGTTATCTCATCAAGCCTATACCGACAATTTATATGTCCATATTTTTGATACTCGACTGCGTAGTTGTTGTAATCTTTTGTATGCTGACATGGCTCATCTTATTACTTAGCACGGTTTATTCGTGACCTTCAATTCAAAAAATAATAATAATAAAGGCATATTAATTTGGACAAATGATAATAAAATCTCTTCAAATTATATAAATAACAATCTTAGTTTTAAAATGCTATAATTTTATTGAAGTCCCTAAAAACTTTTATGTTAATAAATTTTAAATTGCTAAGATCATTTTACCCTTATTAACATGCAAGTGATAATTTCCTATTTAATTCTTGTAATTTTTTGAATAAAAATATTATTCTTTAAACAAAATTGTGATTTTATTTTGAGAACTTATTTTTCAATAACAAAAATTACACTTGACAAGTTGTGATTTTTTATTCAACTCTTGCGATTAATGAAATAAAAGTTATTGTTCTTTAAGCAAAAGTTGTGATTAGAGTTTGTTTTTCAATAATAAAAATTACACATGACAAATTGTGAATTTTTATTCAACTACAATTCATAGAACAAAAGTTATTATTTTTTAAATAAAAGTTGTGATTGAGACTTGTTTTTAGTAAGAGTAAAATAATCTTTTTACTTTAAAATTTATTAACAAAGAAGTTCCTATAAACTTTAATAAAATTATGATATTTTAATAAATTATATTATTATTTATATAATTTAAAGAGATTTTATTATTATTTTTTTATTAATTTTGATCAAATCAAATGAAAATATTTTCTGTCCCCCCCCCCTACTGGCACAGCCGAAGCACAACCTTATACGGCGCCGTTTTTTGGAGTTAAATTTAACCATGATTATAGTTGCCAGACTGAAATCTCTAGTCGTACCCTTAAAACACGAATCCAAAATTGTCCTCAGTATGTTTGGCCAAAACAAAGAAATTGTTCTCAGTACTTCTCCTCATGAAAAAGCATCACGCTTTCTCCTTTTAATTTTTTTTGTTTTTGCCAAAGCCTTCTCCTTTAAATTCAATTTTTTCTACCTTCGTCAGTTCATTAATGTAAGCTTGAGGTTACCTTAAATAAATTTTTAATTTTATCTACATATGGAAGTCAGCTTATTATTTTTTTTTTTTTGGTCATCAACGTCATGCATGTATAAAAATCTGTGAGAAATTAATTTGATATATTTGACTTTTAAAAAGTAAAAGTGCATTCCTTTGACCTATAGTTGGCTTTGTGTTTTATCCTTTTATTGTGTTATTTTATTTAAATTAAAATGTACATTTAATTTTTAACTACATATAAAATTTAATTTTAATCTCTTAATTTTATAAAATTTTTTAAATTTTTTAACTTTTAACACAATTAGTTTCATTAACAAAAGAAATTTCTACCAACATCTAAAAAATAATTATTTAAAATTAACAACATTATGATTAGAAAATTAAAAAAATAGTTTATAAAATTAAACAATTAAATTAAAATTTTTCAAAAATTATAATACTAAATATAGACTTTATCCTTTTATTTATTTGGAGTTTGTTTTCTGACTTTCGCAAAAGAGTGATTTGGGGCCCATGTGATTACTTCTCTTAAAATCTCGTGCCATGTGCTGATATGTTCGCAAGAGTCTACCGATAAAGCTTAAATAAAGTCTAATAAAAAAAAATAATCATGATAAATTAAAGTTTGAAATCTTATAAAAAAAAAATCCACATTTCCTATTTGATAAAGCGACTTCACTTTTCCCTTGCCATTATCGTCTTCAATTCCCATTTTTCGCAAATACCGTCACTCAGATAAGAAATACGCAAGAATTTCATTTTATCATACAGCAGGCAACATCTTTTATGATGTTGCTTTGAAAGAAAGCTAACACAACGTATGAGCCTAACTTGTCAAATCAAATGGGATAAATTTGTACAAATTCAAAGTTGTTTCCACATGATCCAAGGAGATGCAATGTATAATGGCACCAGTGCCTCTGAACCTTTGCAATACCTTGAGATATACCGACTCTTCTCTGCAACGCATAACCGCGGATACGTTGGGCACTCACCGTGTCGATTTTGTTAAATGAATTTCAAAAGGACTTTCATGCAGCATACCCGAATGGTAAGAGGGAGTTTGCAGATCTTCAGCAACGATAAATTCGAGCCTTGTCAATCACCTCAAAGCTTGTACATCCAACACAATGTTGGAATGGCTAACTTACCCAAGCCAATCAGGACCCATCTTCGTAGTTTGCAAAAGCAAACTCGCATACAAGAGCAAGATGGTCACTTCCCCATTTCTGCAGGGTCAAAAACAGTCATTGAATAGACACAGAGAATCCAACATGGATATCAATGGGCTCAAGTGCGGTACCTCACTAGGAAGTCCTTTAGTTGCTCTTAGAATATCAATGGGCAAGGTTTCGAGAACTCTAACAGGAACTAATTCCTTTGTGTGCCTGCCAATGAATAACATCATTAGTCATGACTTATAAAGGCAAACAATCTGAGTGCGCACTGGGAAACTAGAAAACTACCAGATATAATCAACAGTTCCCATGAACTTGGAGTGATATGATGTTGCCAAGGGCTCCCCAATGTCATCCCTCGTTTTATTGTTTCCCTGTCAGCAGCAAGTATACAAGATTTATGCGAGAACAACCAGTATGAGCTGAAATGGAAATGAAGCCAAGACAGCCAAGTGCCATGCCAAATTTGCCAAGATGGAGAAATATAACTGGCAGATCAAAACATCATACTGGAATACTGGCATATGCACTGTGGAGCTTTAGATGACTCTGGAGATGAGTGACTCCTTCTGCACCAGTTGCAAGTTCTAATTCTTCCTCACTCCATCTATATACCAATTGCCTTGAAACAGACATTGATATGCTGCACCAGATACACACCCGAATCATTAATAATACATAATACCCACACATCATCCACAAACAATGACCCCAAACCTTACTGTTAAGCATAAAGCCTGCATAATTACTGATATAAACAAAAAGACGTCCTGAAGTCAAATGATATGCGACTTCTAAAAGAATCTACTGACTGTTCGTAGGTCAAGACATGCTTTGCATCACATGGAATAGTTCAATAGAACGGGACTCTTAAGGATTTGAAAACAACCTGGCTTCATAACCAACTTGAGATCTGAAAACTCTACAATTGGACGAGGCTTCAAGCTGTCCTGACATATTTCTGCGATTATATAATTGGATGTCCAACTGCAACAAGTGGGACGATAGCTTCAGTATACAGAAACTCAATAAGGCTATACAACTAGTGTTTACGCCATAGCATCCCACAAGCCCCAAGGGAAAAGGGCGCAACAGACAACAGATTGCTTAATTTTTATTTATTTTTTATTTTTTTGGCAAGCATAATGGATGGCTTAATTGGAAGCTATTCATATGAACAAATTTCTCTTCAAATGCTAAAACAAAAGGTTATTGCCTAGACGCTTGAAAATATACCATGACCAGGAGATTTGGGACTCACCTTGGAAGAAGCCAGGAATTCATATATTGCACTCTAATAGTGTGGCATGAAAAAGAATATTAGCGATCAAGTAATAGCCTGTTACTTAATAGCAAAGAGCCTTAAATCTGAAGTTTCTCAACAAAAAGGTACAAAGGCAAAATCTTACTTGTGGAACACTATTTAAATCACCAGCAAGAATAACAGGAATGTTGCCCCATTCTTGGGATAGCTTGTAAGCTTTATCAACAAAAAGCCTGACCTAAATCATGAAGTCACATAGAAATTAGCAGGATCAATAAAATAAATAGGAAATTTAATTAACTACAGGCTACTACTAATATTTTCTTCTAAAAACAAAGGAAACATTCAGTCAAAATTTGAATGAAAAATCATTAGAATCACTCCCAGCCCAGGGGGAAAAAAGATTTTCACATAGAAAGAATCAGAACCACAAATAAAATCCCTTCAAGCTAGATGTAAATATAATGCAACCCTGGTGGCAGAGAAGATCAGACAAGTACCTGGCCTAGCTTGATGTCTCCTCGTTTTGGGTTGAACAATACATGTATATTTCCGACTAAAAATCTTCTATTTCTGGTCAATGGTGTCCAAAATGCAAATGAAAGTTCAATAAACAAGTAGAAAATACACAAAAACTTAGTGATTCAATAAGGCTCTTTCATTTACAAAAGACACCATGTCTGTCCGTGTGCATGCAGGTAAGTTATTGTTAAGGAAAGATTTTCCATTAAAAAATCAGATGCAGCATTTGGTGAACACTCTGCAAGGTTTGGCCCACTCCATCATTACCACTCAAAGTGACTAAACTAAAATTACACCAAGCAATACATATGTGAAACAATATATCAGAATATTGCTGATTACATTCACCATGCATGCTGAGTTCTACTGATTTAAGAGATGTAAAACTCACAATATTGTTGGGCTGCATGCATCAGATTCTAGTTTATCACGCTTCACCTGCCCAAAATGGAAATATAGAGTAATAAATTAATAAAAATAAGAAAACCAACTTTAACATATAAAAGAACAGCCAATAAGAAAAAATATTAGCAGGACAGTGTAGGTAAAAAAAGCACTACCAGGAAACAAGATAGTAGAAAGAAACTATGGGGACAACTGGGGGAAAATGTTCACCAAATATAGACCAGCCTAGCAGAAATGCCTATTATTAAGTTTTAAATCTATTTTCATACAATTAATCAAATGCAGAATAGGTAAAAAGAGGCAATAGGATTTCCACATCCGGAATCTACACCACTTTTATAAATACCATATTGAAGGAAAGAAAGGAAAAAAAGAATAACCAAAGATTTGAGAAGATTTGAAGATTGAAGATATTTTATTTTTATTATTATTATTTTTTTTTTGGTTCTGCATCACATATCCTACAAACCACAGCACTAAAGCAACACATCAAACTGATATACATACATACATACATATATATATATATATATATATCAATGACAGCACACCACTTGCACTAAGGACTGCCAGGACATAATTAAGGTACGCTACTAGAAGCAGAGAAATAAGTTATGGGAAATATTGGTAATATCAGAGCAACAATGTGATCACATATAATGTGTCAATAAGAATAGATCAAACCCATAACGGAGATAAGAGAAACCAAAATAATATATCAAATCCTAAATACCTCCAAAATGCAAAGCTGGGCAACATTGTTACGAAGGCCAAATTGTTGGAATTCTATGTCTTCTTGATGCAAAAGGGTAAATCTGCTTTCAAAATATAGCCTAGCTTGATTCAGCAAACTGACAGAGAGGGCAAACAATAGCAATAGAGAAGCAAAGATCGTCCTCGTCTAGATGCCCATACATTTTTTTTTTTTTTTGGGGAAAAGAATGTGATGCACAAATAACATGAGAAGAATGCCAAAATAAATTCTGTAGAACTCAATTCCACTTCCACCCATATTAGCCCATAGAGGGATGTTTAGACCGCCAGTCTGCCCAGCGCTCATTAACAAATAGTGGGCAATCATATTTACCAGAGAGAGAAAACATGGTAGGAAATGTCATACACAGAACGAATTAGTAGAAAAAGCAAAAACTATTAGCAACATTAATCACTTGGGGGTAATGGAAACCCACAATTTGTCTTTCCAGAATACAGCACACCCATCATATGCTTCCCCTGTGCGAGCCTGAAGATGATTAATAATGCTAATCCATGTGAGCTAATAAACTGATTATTTGGACCATAAAAATTGATCTGAAAGTTTACACAGACACAAACTCTCTGCCATATAATACCTTGTAAACACCTTTAAAGCCATCATTTTGGAGAAGATTATCCAAGTTATCAAAGCGATCAACCTCCTGCAGTCATATAAAAGGTTATGATAATGCAGTCCTTGATAAACAAGAATCAGTCCTACTCTATTATGCATCCACAATAGCATAGATCTTGATAATGAGATTTTGAAATTCTAACGCATACTGCATGCTGTGCATAACAGACGTTCATAATAATTAATAAACTACCTGGAAACACAGTATGCTAGCATTATAGTTATAAATCTCCTCACGAATAAGTAATTTCCGCCGATCCCACTCCAGAAAACGATGTGGAATATTAGAATACAAATCCGGGTGCTTTGACGCATTTTCAACACCGAGGATATTGTAAGACACAACCACAATCTTATCTGCAAGAGAAGGCAAGGGTTGAGAAGAAAGATCACGAGATCAACATAAACAAGTCCCACTACCCGATACCATCTCATCAATGTATAGCCACGCACCCTCATGTGTTTATCTTAAAATGTCAATCACACACCGCCATCCGTTTTCTCTCTTTCCTTTCAATGCAGTACATAAACATAAATCCACAGGCAACGTTTCAGAGGAAATCAGAATTCACGCACTTATTATCCATTTTTTTCTTCCAAAAGCTACGTTAATTCCTTACCCTTATAGTTAAAATGATCTTCGGAAGAAAAAACCCATCTCCGAGAAGACACATCGTCAATGGATTTTCTTGCCATTTTCTTCCTGCGAACTCGAGATGAAGAACGGAAGGCTTCCAATCGGTTCAAAGTGCACGAGCTCCAATTATGCCCAGGGTTCCGGGTTACAGGCTCCGACTTCGGGAACAGCCGCCGCTTCTTCATGTGAGTGCTCGAAGATTCCAATTGATAAAACATCCTCCGCTTCGCCGAATGGTTGATGCTTGAAATTTCCGGTTTTGGCCTTCCGCGATTGGGATTCGTCATCCCGCCGGAGTATTAGGATGACTCCGAATTAGGATAAGTTAACTTCTAATGTTATCGAATGGTTACAGAAACATAGGAATCACACTACTAGGTTCTCCGATAGCAATTCTATGCATTCAAAGTCTATAGTATTGCAGTACCTTTTTTTCGCAATGAAAAGTCACTCTTCCTTCAGGGCCCAGGCTTCCCCGATGAGTTCCACGGTGGATCGTTCAGAGCCGCGATGAGCTCCCCCGCTGGTCAAGAGTCCACCACTAGGGCAAATAATATTTTAAAAGTCAAAATTATCATAAAAATTTAAAATGATTTTCAAAGCACTCCTCCGTTTAAAAATATTGGTTTGAAGGATTTAAATATTACAACAACAACAACAACAAGCCTTTATCCCACTAGGTGGGGTCGGCTACATGGATTGCAAGACGCCATTGTGCTCTATCATTTATTAAGCTTTTAGAAATATTATTAATTAAGAGATCACGTTCAACAACTTCCAAGAGTGTTCTCTTAGGCCTTCCTCTACCTCTCTTAATCGGACTCAAAGTTATATGTTCCACTCTTCTCACTGGTGCCTCCCTTGGTCTTCTTTGTACATGCCCAAACCATCTCAACCGATTTTCTACCATTTTTTCCTCAATAGGTGCCACCCTCACTTTTTCACGTATGTGCTCATTTCGAATTTTATCTTTACGTGTATGTCCGCACATCCATCGTAACATTCTCATCTCTGCTACTCCAATTTTATGCTTTTGCTGTCCCGTTAGAGCCCAGCATTCACTACTATATAACATTGCCGGATTTAGATATTAAAAATATAAAATATTTTTAATATTTTAAAATATAATAATTATTTTTTTAAGTGCCATAGATAAATTACTTTATATTTATTTTAGAGTGAAACATCCTATTAAATAAAAATGTATAGCAATATATTGTTAGTTTAAAGATAGGTAATTGTTTTATTAGAAGATGAGATTTGATTAAAAATATTTTATATTTTTGAACAAAAAGAATAATAATAAAGATAAAACTTTACTTAAGGAGATAATAATACAAATTTTAAAAATAAAAATGCGCATGCACAAACACACACGCACATATGTAAGTATGTACACACACATGCACATAGTTAAAGATAAAAAACGTCCTTGAAGTGTATATGAAAGATTGCAAATGACCTTAAATTTAACTATAAGTCATTTATACCCCTTAAAATCAAAGAATCATTATATTGCTACCCTGATGTTTAGTCAAATTGTGTTGATTGTTTGTGCAGTCAAGTTTGTCTGGGAAAAGAAGAAAGAAGAAACGAGGAGTATCAAGGTATTTAAGTTGAACAAACATTGAAGCAAACTATGGACCATTTTTTGCATTTGTCTCCATTTGAGATCAAGTATGAAGTACTTCTCGATGAGTACAATGTCATGAGCAAGTTTGGTGGGCGATTCTTCATGTTCTTTGTCGGGTATCAGTCAAAGGATGGTCGCATTCAAGAGTCGAGGAGCTGGATATATAAACTACCTACGCCTACTGAGGTATTGCTTTTGTGGAAAAATTGCACCGAGGTAGACATTATGGACTAAGAACAACCTTGGAAAAAGGTTTTTGAGCGTAAAAACTACAGCTAAATATGCCTTAGCACTAATCTCTCTTGATTTAAGTTTGTGTGGTTTGGGCACTGAGTGTCAAAGATGAATGTCAGGGTAGATGTCATTTTTTTCTCATGGCTAGACAATAAAATGGAGGAAAAGTCGAAGCAGGTTATTCTTGTGCTTTTAGGTCATATTGAGAGGTTGATTGAAGAGAATAAAAGGCTGTGTGGACAAAGAGAGAAGGAAGAAAAGATTGATGGTATTATACGTGGGTTGGATGAGATGAAGAAGCTAAAGATGGCAATAGAAATTTTAATATTGTCATAGTTGTTCCTTGGGTCATATTTAGTTGTTCCTTTGTTTATGAAAATGTATTATATTTTATGAAAATGTATTTTATTTTTGTAATAGTCATATGAACCCTTTATGCTTTTGTTTGAGACCATTGAATTTTTGGAATTTTGTAAGAAAAATTGTGTTTTATGCATTTTTGAAGATGGCATATCTAGTCATGTTTTTATGTACTTGTATTTTTTATGTATCTATGAAGGTTGAATAACTAAAATGAACTTTAATAAATTACTATCAAAATGTAATAATGAACTATAAACCTTTAAAGGTTGGCTAATAAGACAATAACATTAATTAATATAGTTATGAAGTTATAACATACTCAAGTCTATAATGAGAACACAGCTAAATCACTTTGCCACGTTAGAATGGCAGCATACAAAATATGGATGATGACTCCATACAAAATACAAAATAATGGTGCCAACATTAAAGTTTGTCATATACATAATGGCTACATACAAATCATAGAAGAAATTATGGCAAATTAAAAGGTTGGCCTAACACAAACTAAATGATAGTCTCTTTTCTCTTTGATCTTTCCTGTCTATCCTTTGACTTTCAAGGTGGGAGCCACTAACACTAAGATTTCCCTATCATCTTAAACCAGGTGGTTTGAATGGAAGTTTGAGGGTTGATCAATATTTGTATCTAAACCTCTTGATGCACTCCTAATTAGTCTATTGGCCAGTGTTTGCTTCTCTCTTTGTAGATGACTCTTTTTGGGGATTGGGAACCTCATTTTTGGATCTGCATTTTAATGCATATACTCCTCAACTGTGCCCTCTTCAAGTACCATCTTAGATGGCATTCTAGACTGCATATGTAAATTGTAATGTGTGTTATTGTATAGAATCTATGAGGAAATGTCAATCAATTACTACAAAGCTATAAATTAAACTTACATTATAAATTGTCCTTCCTGTGACTTCATCAAATCGAATCCTATGCCAACCTCAGTCCTTAGTCGATAAATTCCTCTGTTGTAAAGTGTCTAGAGTGGTACATTGGTGTCAATTGTAGGAGTGGATGGTAGGGGAGGCCTGTGGTTGATAGACTATTGAGTACCTTGGTTGCTCTTAGTTTGGTCTTGTTGGGAGAGTGCATGAGTGGATAGTAGAAGAGGTGTTTGGTTAATAGATTTACTAGCCTTTTTTGGTCGCAAGTCCTCACTAGCAGAAGGCCTCTACATAATTCAAGGGAGGTCTAAAACCATTGCAGAAACCATCTCCAATTATGGGCATTCTCCCTCTGACTTTAACTGCAAGCCCATCTTCATTGCCTGGGCCCATCTCATCTCCCATTTCCTCCTCTTCACTATTGTTGTCCTCACTATGACTGTCTCCATCTAATCCTAAGTGCCTAAAGTATTCATTATCTTTACTAGTGTTATCTTCACTAGTTGACTCACCTCTGAGTGCCTCCTCTTTAGCTCTACTATCTTCATCTTCATCCTTATCCTCATTAATCAAATGATTCTGTCTTATACTTATCTTTGGATTCTAAATGTCAACAAGTGAATATTTTACGTTTCTATTAGTCTTTTCCAATTGTTTCTCATGCTTCTTATACCAACTTAGATAAGATTCAACCACTTCTCAAATTCTTTCTCAAACTCATGGTCCTTGTCAAATACTTGCTTGTCATTCCCCTCACTTCCTAATCCTTTTCTTTGACTCGAATCATCTAACTTTGCACCTTTATCTAATTTTAAGTCCTCATGCACAAATCTTTTCTTAGTTTCTTCAACCATTTTCACCGCATCATCTATTAACGAAAAGTACTTCTCCATGCTCAACTTATGCAGACTTCTGATATCGCACCAGCACCAATACTGTCACTATCACCAATGCCAACATCGACACCATCGTCGAATGCCCCATCACGATTGGGAACCATCTTTCTAATAACAACCACAGACACAAACTCGAGGGCTTATGTGAGAATTCATTATGCAAAATTTAGTGATTCTTTACCTTAACTTCTAATGTAATTCTCTACACATTGATCAGATTTCACATGCTTCGTCCTTGCTCACGTAGATCATTTCTTATTTCTCTGATTTTCCTTCACGCTTGATAATGCTCTGCCGTTTCATTTCTCTAATTCTCTTGCCTTGTCTTTTATTTCCTTTTTTCCCCTTTTACCATGGTGCTCACTAGGATGATGATATTTGAACCATCTAAATTAAAAATTTAAATGGTTCAGATTTAAATAATTATATTTTTAAAATAAAAGTTATAAAAAATTTTTAATAAATCTTTTCATGACTAATTTAGTCTATATTTAATTTAGAGGATCCAATTTAATATTAAAATTTTTATATTTTTATGTATTGATTATCTATATGTATTCTATACATTTCAAATTTAAAACTTTTAACTTGTAATTTTGTAAAAAAAAACTATAGTTAAAAGATTATATATTTAAATTTTTAATATTATATTTATCAAAAAAAAAATATAAAAATTATAAAAAATTTTAATATTAAATCTAGACTGTACAAAATACATCTAGATAGTCAATACATAAATATTTTAAAATTAAATTGAACTATTCAAATTAAATTTGCACTATTATAATTGATGATAAAATATTTAGTAAAGAAATTAATAAATTTTTATTTCAATAAATATAAAACATAATTATAGTTATAAATTAAAAGGTGTTACGTCCGGACCATCTAAATCTTCCCAGTGCCTTTGGCCTTAAACCATCATTGCTATCTTTTATTAAATAAGATCATGAAATGCGAAACTATGTGTATTATTTACATATATAAATAGAATAGTTTATTATAGGTTTTGTATTTTATATTGATGTTGATTTTTTTTAATTAGATACATGTATTCTTCTATTGAAAATAATACTATTCGAGATACGGTTCGACATTAATTATTTCATATATATATATATATATATATATAATTTTGTACTAAATCTTTTTCATCATAAATCTCAATAAAATTCCATATTTTACACTCTGAATTGTTAACCACATTTATATTAAGATATATATTGAATCATATTATTATATAAATTGGAATTCGCCTAATTATTTATTAATATATTTGAATAAGTTCAACACCAGAAAGTATAATTGTGTGGAGTTCACATAACGTGCTTACACTCATTTACCTTTTTATTGTTTATTTTTGGTATACATATACGTTTTATTTTTTATCCAAATACATTCTCTACATTCAAGTCTGCAAATGTGAAAAATGCAGACTAGATACTATATGACCTCTTATCTAAATTGGAATGTAAAATTGTTCAATAGATTGTTATATATCTTAACTCTGCGACTAAGAAAAATCGTACAAATGGTATAGGCCTGCAAATCAAACTTTTCAACTGAGGAAATCAACGAATGTCCAACTTGAAAACCAGTTTATTCATTCATCTTGAAAATCAGTCAACTATATGATTTCTAACATGGGGTTTTTGTCCTTTTCCCCCCTGATGAACTACAGTCAATTATTTTCAGACCATTATCTAATCTTATCTAGCAAATGAAAACTATACAGTCAATAATATATTAGCCTTCACTGAATTCAAAATTTTCGACTGAGAAAATATATGAATGTTCAAGTTGAAAATCAGTCTAGTGTATGATTGCCAAAGTGGGAGTTTTAATTTGTTTGTCCTTGATAAACAACAGTTACAGTTCCTTGTCTTGTAATGTGGCTGGTTTAAATTCTTTATGTAAATGCAGGTTCTATAATCTACCTCATCTTAAATGACTGGTAGGTTGCTAGCAATTACTCGCTACCAGAATCCCATTCTTGCATGCTATATCATCACTCATCGTCTCTTCAAACCAGAAACATTCTGTCTGCACAAGCTTCCAAAAATTCAACACCATCTCCATGTGCACATCTACCTATCCAGTCTCCCCAAAATTTACTTACGAATTAAGAACAATCATCACACACTCACCGTGACCTCTTTTCCTTCACGTTCTCGCCAAACAAACAAACATGATGAAGAGCCATACCCAGTTTCCATTGGGCCTCGCGCTTTTCAGCGTTCTCTGCCTCGTCCAAACCAAATCCATCATCGAACCATGCGTCTCCTCAGACTCCTGCTTTTCCCTCCTCTCCTTCGTCCTACCCTGGGACTCCAAGCTATCCGAAATCGCCTCGCGCTTTCAGGTCAATGTCTCCAACATCCTCGCCGCCAACTCCGTCTTCCCGATGTCACAGAAACTCGCCGATCAGATCATCAGATCCAAATCCATCGTGAAGATCCCCATCTCGTGCCCTTGTGTCGACGGAATCCGGAGATCTATGTCCACAATCTACAACGTGCAGGCATCGGACACACTGGAGAACATATCGGAGGGAATCGGCCGGCTGGTGAGCGCGGACCAGATAGCGAGCGTGAACAGCATCAATGCGACGAATCGTTTGACGAACGGAGGGAAGTTGGTGATTCCGTTGCCGTGCACGTGCTTCAATAACGTGAGGAATGGCGAAACGACGGTGTATATGTCGTATGCGGTGAGCGAGGGGGAGAGCTTGAGGAGTATAGCGTCGGGTTCGAAAACGACAGTGTCGGATTTGGAGGCAATCAATGGACTGAGTCAGGACGCGGTCGAACCGGGAGATATAATAGCTATTCCCATTGCAGGTTGGTACAGTAATATTTGCACTTTGTCTTCATTTTGTTGGTACCTGGCCTCTTTGCAGCATGAGTCTTGATTTATTTTCCCTATTTTTTATTATAAGAACCGAATGGAATAATAAATTAAAAACATCCGTGGATCAGGTTTCATAGTTTAACCAACAATATAATAATTAAATAAAAATAATATATGCACATATATCAAAAATGAGTCAAAACGGTTCAATGGCTCCGGTTCTTGGGTTTTCTTTTGGGCCTACAAGAATTACCCTGGGTCAAAATGGAAGCCGGTTCAATCAGATATTTTTTTCTACAGGCAACGGTCAAATCTTTCAGATTGGTCAGGGTTTGGAAACAGTAATTCATACTATTTTGTTCGCTTTTAATGCTCGCTGCGTTCTCTCTGTCTCTGTTTTTTTTTTTAGAATTTAATTTAATGCTCGCTGCCTTCGGCTTTGCCCTTTCCTTGTCATGGGCTCATGGCTGATCAAATATTAAAATATTTTTCAGCCGTTTATTAAAAACAATATTTTTCGCCAGTTTATAAAAAATAATAATTTTTGGCCATTCCTCCATGTCATTGTTGACATCTTGGTCAAAAGGCACCTGGTCCATTTTTGGTTGAAGCCCACTTTCTGGGTCAGTAATCGATGCCTCACCAAGCCCAACGCACCCATGACCCAAGTTACGAGTCTCCTTGTCAATTCGCCTGGATGCTGAGGCCCAAAATTATTGGGTCCATGTTCAATTTTCATTCATCTGGCCAACAGATAAATGATAAAAGTTACAGCATATATTTAATCATTTAATTTTACATAACATTTTATTTTAATATTTTAATTTTATAAAGTTTTTTTTAATTCTTTAACTTTGACACTATTAGTTTTACCCTAACAAATTTTTATATTAAACTTTTAAATGTTGACAAAATATTTTCAAATGTTAACATGATAAGTTTAGTTTTTTCAAAACAATAATGATTAACACAAAAAATAATCATTCCAAACAAATGATATTAGGATTAGATGATTAAAAAAAATACTTGACAAAATTAAAGGATCAAATTAAAATCTTATATAAAATTAGAGGATTAAAAGTATACTTTAGTCAATGATAAATAATATAACTCATTTTAAACTCAAATCAATACACGTGGAGTGTCTTCAGTAAATGAAAGAAAATAGCAATTTTATCATTCAATTGAGGTTCAAATTTTTCCAACGAAAATGAGTGGAATCCATAAACTGATACTTGATTGTTGAGACCATAAAGAATCAACAAATAATCAATAACTGCAACACAGGAATCTTTATAATTGGGCGACAAAATTCCAATTTTTGGTTAATTTTTCGTCAGAGTAATGCACATATACAATACAAGTAACATAGATGTTGATGATAAGAACCAATATTCATATATGATACATGGTGTATGCTTGTACTGTGGTTTGCACATATATTTGCAGCTTGTTCATCAGCAAGCCTGAATTGGTACAACGAGAGTCTCATCGTCCCAAATGGCTCATATGCTCTTACTGCCACAGACTGCATCAAATGCTCTTGTGGCCCCATCGATCTCAGGTGATACATATATATATATATATATATATATATATTACAATATTACAACATAGAAATTTATGTGTACGTTTGCAAGTTCTGTTTAATCATGATTAATTAACCCTATCTCTCTTGGGGAACGTATTCAGGCTGCAATGTTATCCATCTGGTCTGGAAGCTCCCTGCTTCAATTTACAGTGCAAAGATTCCAATCTTGTAATTGGAGACCAACATGTCACTTATTTCAAATCTGGCTGCAATGTCACCCAGTGTGTCTATCGTGGCCACAGAGGTGGTAAGATTCTAAGAAGGTACGTTCTTAATAATACGCTCACATACAATATCCAATTTGGGATCTCTAATGCACCACTCCTCTCATTTATTACACGATCTCGACTTCTCAGTTATTTTTCTCTTGTTTTTCTTTTAATCATTGAATTCTAATTCTTATCTTAAAAATTATATGATATTTTTAATCAAATTATGTACAAAATGAGTTAGTTAATTGTGTTTAAATGAACACAATCTTTTCATATATGTCTTTATTTAACAAGGTGTCTTATTTAGAGGTGAAGGGTTAAGTAGTTTATTCATGAAGGATATTTTTAAAGAAAACTCATTAATTATATATTAAAAAATTAAAAATATTTTATATATTTAATATCTAACTTAAGAAAATGCTTTATATTTTTTAACAAAGGGAGTACTTAAAATTAAAATAAAAAAACATTTTGATATATTGCTGTGATGAAACAGTGTAGTTTTGCATTTTTTATAATTTTTTTAAATCAAAACTGCACAATTTAAAAAATCGTAAAAAAGTATTAAAAAACTTCATTTTATTACAATAAAATATTAAAATATTTTTTATTTTATATAATAAGAAGTCACAGCATTGCAAATGATATTAAAAAGTAGGGCATTGGAACCCCTCTGAATCACGTTGGCATATCATATGGCAAGAATATAAGACAAAACGACGCGTGGAATATGAATTTTATAAATTGTATGTCTTGGAGACGAACTTCTAACAATATTAGAGCCTGCGTTGATCGTTTTGCAGCGTGTCGGAATCTTCTTATCTGAGGTGCCCCGGTAAGTTTCTGACCATGAAAAGCAAACCATCAAGAGGTTTCAGAATTTCTGAACTGACAGTGTAATTATCAATTTTATGCAGCGAATCAGACTTACAATGCAGCGTCGCCTTGGCCATCAATAAATTTAGATCCCGTAATGCCGTTTGGGGCATTTTCCCCATCTCCGTCACCTAGTCCAGTTTCTGATGCTTTAGTGCACGCCACTCAAGTTTCCATCATGTTGCTCCCACTGCTTCTTTGGATATTAATCAACACGTGAAATTTCATTTATTGTTGTCGGCTCTAGGTTTCCAGGATATTGTATATTTATTAATTATTAATGAGTCATCACTATCCAAAAGTATATGCATAAATTGTAATAATCATATCAATAGATGCTAGTCCTCATAAAAAGGATGCATTTGAATTTGCCTTTGAAGGAATTACCTTTTGTTTAAACTTTAGAATTTAAAGTCAGTGTCTAATATGATTTTCAAATACCAGTAATTTATTACCAAAAAATTATAACCATATAGCTCTCTGTCAAGCTATTGCTCAACACATGACCAAGCCATGTTGTCTCCTCGTTTTAATATTCACATACACACAACTGTATCTAATGAATGATTTGTTTGAAAAAATTAGAATGTTTTAGGGACATTGACTAATTGCATTGGTCTTTATGCATGAGTTAGTCAAGAATTACTTCCTCTCTTTTTATTTATAGGAGAAATATCACTTTTAAAATAAAATCACATTTTTTAATAAACATTTATTGCAAACTTCTTAAATTATTCTCAATAATTTTATTATTTATAGTCATAAGAAATAATTAATGAATGCTTGATTAGTACAATTAATGAAGGGTATTATACTCCAATTCTTTTATTTTCGGACACAATTAATATAGTTAAGTAATTTTCTTAAATTGTATAATGCAGTTTTTTTTTTTATAAATAAAAAAGGAAGGAGTATTCTATAATAACAAATGAAGGGAGTAGTAATTTTAAGACACTTTTTATATTCCATAACCTAACATCCTAAAAAACTTAGGTCGCATTTGCTTACTAGAATAAAATAAAATAGAAATTATTAAAAAAATTGAGACAAAAATAAACTAAATCACCATTCCCCCCATATTAAGCATAATAAAATTCATTAATATATATTAAAAAATGTGAGAATCATCACACCCTTCAAAAATTTCATGAATCATGATTTTCAATCCCATGAACTAAATTATTCCTCCCCTTTATGAATGACTTTATCTATTTCTTTTGATTATCTTATTTTGAAAAAACTAATCATTTAGTCCTTGTAATTTTGACTCAGTTATAACTCAATCCCTGAAATTTTGACTCGATTATAAAACAGTCCCCGAACTTTGCGTCTTATAATTTAGTTTCTAAAATTTTAACATCTTAAATATTGGTTCCTATATTTTTTAAAAATAAAATTAAAAAATTAAAAATATTTTAAACTTTTAATATTTATAAATATTAAAATGACTTAGTAATTTAAGATATTAGTAATAAATTTTAAAATATTTTTAATAATTTTATTTTTTTAAATTTAAAGACCAATATTTAAGAGGTCAAAATTTCATAGACTAAATTACAAGATGCAAAGTTCAGAGATTGATTTACAACCGAGTCAAAATTTAAGGATTGAATTATAACTGGATTAAAACTACAGGGGCTAAATGATTAATTTTCTCTCTTATTTTTATCTTTATTTTTTCAAAACAATCCATTCAATTTCGTTCTAATAAACAAACATGACCTTAAGGTATTATTAACAACAGACTCATGAATACTTCAAAGATGTCTTTGATATATTTATTAATTCACATATTTCAGGATTTGAATTTACAATTTCAAGATAAATTGATTCTACTTTTTCAATTAAAATTGAGTTTCTTAGACATATCAATTAAGCTTAGGTTCGCTTAGAGGTGTCAATTAGAGCCAGCCCGATTCTAAAGGGCTGGCCCTTTAAGGCTTAGCCAAGGCCTAAACGGGTTGGCCCTTTTAAGCTTGATTATATCTCAGGGCTCTATTTTTAGTAATCTGGCCCTAGCCCTCAAGGCTGAAGGGCTGAACCTCGAAGCCTCGACCCTAATTATTTTTTTATTTTTCAATTTAAAAATTTTAAAAAATATATTTAAAATCCTAACAAATTTATTACATATCACATTAAGTCTAAGAAAATAAAATAACATTAATTCACACAACAAAAATTTTAAGTTTGATAAAAAAAATCCCAAAATCAACTCTGACATCAATTACATGTTGGTAGTATCATCAGCTAAATCTTGATGATTTTCATCACCATCAACATTAATAGTATTTGATCCTTCTCCTTATGGATCCTCATGAATGGCAAATATATTAAGCTTTTCATATCTTCCTTCTTCATCCTCATTATTTGCAATAAACAATAAACCAAAATTATAATTTTAAGGTATTTAAAAAATGAAAAATATTCAAAGTAAGTAAATAATAATAAGTTGCCCTTCAACTCAAAACCATGTAACTAATAACGAGTACAAATGATAGCTTCAACATTATCTGGAAGAAGACAAACCTAAACATTATCTGAAAGAAGAGAACTCCAATACTTTGTCAAAACACGTGAACTAATACTAAAAGTTGATTCACTAGCCACAGTAGTGATTAGGACACTAAGAATATCTGCAGCCATCCTTGAAAGAATTGAAAATCGATGTTGGTTGTTCCTCCACCAATTCAATACATCTAAATCTTTCCAGTTATGAGGCTTAAGTATTGGTTCGTCTAGATAATTCTCTAATTCAGACTTGTCCAAAAAAAATCATCTATACTCATATAGATATCTTGATAATCCTGCATTATAATTTCCAAATAATTAAAAAAATATAACTTAAATACTAATAAAGTAAAACAATATTAATTGATAAAGTATTTAAAATTTACATCAAATGTATAATCAAAAGTGGTCGCTAATGATGTTGAAATATTTGCAGTGTGAGACGCACGTTTTATTGTAATAGTTGAAGTTTTAGAACTTGATTCACCTCCCACACCAGTAGATAATGTCCCCATATTTAAATATTCATGAAAAATAAAATTTAACTTGCTCTTGATGTCGGCAACCTTCTCATGGCAAGTAATGGGGTCAATCTTTAAGTAAAAATATTGTATCATATTAAATTTTCATCGTGGATCAAAAATCACACCAAGTGTAAGGATGACACTATAATCAGTCCAATACATGTTAAACTTCTCTTTCATTCTCGTAGCTATCTCTTGAATGACAAGATCAGCGTTCACCTTATTTACATCAAGCAACATTTGAATTTTTGATATTTGCATAAAATACATATTTGAAGTAGGATATGATGAACTTGAAATTAATCTTGCTTACTCATTTAGTCGTGTGCATCGTGTATGTTTGGAGTTTGGACAAGTGTTGAGAAATTTGCTTATGTGGTACGCGTCTTGCTTACTTTTTTTTTTTTTTACTTTTTTAGTTTTTTATGGTTTTTTTTAAAAATATATTAAGGCTTAAAGGGCTGGCCTTTTTATTTTCGAGTCTTTTTAAATTTGATTTACTTTTTCAAAAACTAAAATAGGGGCCTGACCTTCAATTTTTTCAGGCCTAAAAAGAACGGCCTTATGGACTCGACCCTAATTGATGGCTCTCCGCTCAGACCCGAGGTGTATTGGGCCTGAATTGGATCAATAGGTACAGTCAATGGGCCAAGCCCAATCACAATAAGTGGTAGAATTACTCTTTCACTTGCTTCACCATTCGGCAAACGAGCATCCAAAGCTTCGCGGAGGTCCAATAACCGGTTAACTTCCGGTAAGGGGTAACACAAAAGGAAAAGAAATACAGTACACGCCACGCAGTTCGTTGAGACGAAAAATGAAACAGCTCACCGAGGCTCTCACACTACAGTCTCAAGCCATCACCAGGCATTTTAGCATATTTGCCATCAGAATCCGCCATGATCTCCGACCAGATGGTACCTCTGTCCTTTCCATTTGCCTTTTCCTTGGCCTCCAATTATTCAAAAGTCGATCTCCCTCCACTTTTTTTTTTAATTTTATTTTGATATGCAGTATGTTTTCTTTTTTTGCCAGAGATTCTTTGCTTTAGGAATTGAAGTTTGAAGCTCGTGTCGCCTGCTCCTGGAGCCTCGATTTTCGCGAGTTCATTATCCAAGCACCTGATCCTCTTTAATTTCATCCTCATCTTGGCTTCCAATTGGTGTCCTGGCTTGCGGCTTTTAGAATTCGCTCTATTTCAATTTTGAGGTACTTCTTCCATACGATTTCGCAATGTGGAACCATAGTAATTGGCTAGACTCAAATCTGAGTTTTATTTCCACGAGTTAAATTTTGCAGGGATTGACGAACTTGATTGAGCAGCAGAAATGCTTACGTGCATAGCTCGTCCGAAGAAACTCGGGCATGAGTCACTGAATCAGCCCGATGAATCCGATTCTACCAACTCAAGCGCCGCAAAGAGTCAAGGTGCCAAATCCCTCACTTCTCAGGTACCTAATTCTTCTTCTGTAGTTCCGATTAGAAGCTTCGTCAGATTGAAGTATCAAATTCAAATCTCCATGTTTCGTTTAGCTCAAGGATATGGCGTTGAAGGCATCTGGAGCTTACAAGCATTGCGCCCCCTGCACCGGACCACAGACACAGAATCGATTCCGGGGAAGCAATGAGTCAGACGTGGAGTCGGATCGGTTCCGATGGTCCTACCGGAGAACAGCGAGTTCAAGCTCGACAACGACGAGGGCATGGGGGAAGGAGATGGAAGCGAGACTGAAGGGGATTTCGAGTGGGGAGGGAACGCCGAACTCTTCCAGCGGACGGCGGGTAGAGCCGGTGGTGCTGTTCGTCGAAGAGAACGAACCTAAGGAGTGGGTGGCGCAGGTGGAGCCCGGCGTATTAATCACCTTTGTATCACTTCCGAGCGGAGGGAATGATTTGAAGCGAATCAGGTTCAGGTACGCCTCCAATTACTTCTCTTGCGGGGACACTGGGCGTCGTATTATTTCTTTAGGTGCCGTTTTGAGTTTTGATCGGACGGCGACTGTTCGTGACAGTTTTGGTCAAGGTGGGCATTTGGAATTGGATCCTACAGCATCAAGCAAATAGTGATGTGATGATAATGACAATGAGTGCCTTTTCCTCCGGTGAACTGTCAATTTGTCTCACATCATTACTGATACATGGACAGCCAAGTTCTTAGGTTATCCTTGATTTAGGATTAGTGGTTCGTATAAATACGAAACTAAATTTATCTAAGAAAAAACATTAATTATGTCTGAAAAACACTTAAAAAACTCAATGTATGATGTATGAAATGATAAAACAAATTAACTTTTTAAAACCATAGTATTTTAAAAAATAAATCTGTTCCCATTATTCCTACATCTGCTCATCATGGACTTGTTTCCTTAGGACATGACCCCTAAGGAGTTATCCTGACTAGATCTAACCGCATTGAGGAGGGTGAACCTATTTAACCCCATCAACTTCAAATAACTCCAGTATGATTGTTAGTGTAAATGTATAATATTTAATGTTGACCAACCAATATAAATACATATATTGTCATTGCATATTAATAGTAAATTTTTTTTATAAAAATAGATAAAGAATATTAAAATCAAGAAAATATTAAGAACTATATATTGATATCAATATTTATCATCAAACAGAGGCAATTCTTTGAATAAGCAAATGATAGGTTAAACAATATTTTGTTCGATGTTTTCGAATAAAAACAATGCTCCTGAATTATACTTATTAAATAACTTAATAAAAGATGTAAAGGATGCTCTTTTTTATTACTTATAGTCAAACAATTGTAATTATAATTTGCAAGTTTTTTTAATTTTTAATCATCATCTGTTTTATCACACTCTTTTTTTATAGGGAAGAGAGAAAATATTTTTTTTAGTCCTATTTATAAGTTATATCAATAAATTTTCATCACAATTTTTTTTTCTTTTAACTTCCATTAAATGTTAAAAAGAGCTCATATGTAGTTAAAGTATATATATTTAATAAGAATGAAGTTAAAAATTTATTGAATTTTTAGACATGATTAATAAATTTTAAAATGTTCATTAATTATAATAAAATATGTTGAAAGTACTTATAAATAAATTCAGAGAAATAACACCTCTTAGATGTTAAATTTGGCATGTTTAGTTCCGTTGAAAACCATAAAAAACCACGTGGAACTGAGGTTTTGGTGTTTTAATGGAAACCATACATTTATTGACCTTTTGTTACACCATAAAACCTCGATGCGCCAACACTTGTCAGTTGTCACAGGTTAATGTGCTTGGATGTGTGACTTTATATAATGTCTAAGAAAACATTAATGTGCAGATGAAAGTGTTTAAAAAATTAAGGGAGTTCATGATTTGGAGTAAAACAAAATCACTAGTATAAAATAACTTTTTTTTTTATACCCAATATAAAATATCTTTTTATAGGATACTCTCTACATTAGTGGGAAGAGAAGATATGAGTGAAAAAAAATATAAACTAACAACTAAAAGGCTTCAACTGTATTTTTTATTATAAGCCAATATATGGTTGATTGTCATATTAAGTAATGTGATGTCATTATAGACGAGATAAAATTCTTTATTTTAAAATATCACATCACTTGTAGCCACTTGGGGCTACCTGTGGCAGGTAAAATTAGGGTAATGGTCAAATGTTTAAACACTCATACTGAAACAAAAAAACAATCATGTATGATTATTAATATTGAAACATGATGAATGTATAATTTATTAAAAATAATATACTTATTTATAAAAATTATACACATATTATAATATTATGAGAATATTATAAAGTCTACATTTTTATTGGAATATCTAAAAGTAATTCTAGAAAAAACATTATTTTTTTTCTTTATCATGCTGTAGTGTAAGTAATGATTTACGCCTGGCCATTCACAGCCCATTTTGTTGGAGTAATGTCACAAGATAATCAAAATACAAACAGTTAGTAATGTATCAATATGTAAATCATTGGATTGAGTCAATTGACATCTCTTTACGAAGTGAAAATTCTTTAAGACTTTCTCTTTTCCTTAAACAAAGTAGTATGGCCATTTTGCTATAGCATCCGAAGTCCAAATCCTATTCCATAAGCATGAAAGGATTAAGTAGGGGACCCCATTCCCTTGTAATTTCACGCCCTTCCCATAAAGCAATAAAAGAAGGTTCAAAAGGAGAGCTTACTGTGGCTTGTTTAGCGGTGGTGGGCCATTATTGATTTTGTTACGTCTCTTAACCTGATCTTTGTTGTCTGGTGGGAGGAAATCCTTGTCTTGTGTTCTCGTCATGACAGAAACTTTTGTATAAACTAAACCAAGAAATAAAAAGACAGATCTCTAAAACTTCTATGACGAAAAAATGTCTATTATTTTATTTGTTTGATTTACCTTTCTTAATTTTTACTTCAAACTTCAAATGTAAAATTTTTTAATCAAATTTTTAAATAGATTCTGCTCTTGATAATTGTTGTATGTGGCTAGCTACTATTTTTATACTTAATCTGCCTAGAATTAGTTGATTATATTGTACAAAAAGCTTTAATTTTAGTATTTGTCTTTTTATGTGCAATTTGCTGGGGAATGCCGTCATCATCTTCCACTCAGAAACTTTATACATGACAAAAGTGAACTCTTACTTGGTGGGCACAAACAGAGATTGAGAAACATAGGTTAAAAGAGAGTTGTTGCCAAATCTTTATTGTTTTTCTTTTAACTTATTGTATAATTGAAGCTCACAGAGTTTGCATTTGTTGTTGGTCCTACTGGGTCACTTGTGGTGCAATCCCTTACAATATGGACACAGATTGACGATTTTTAGCCATATTTAAATCCTATTCATCATCGAAATCATTTCATGTTTAGATGCGTTTAGTGATATGGTTAATATTAATTAATTCTGGACCCACCTTGTTTTGATTGCTCAGGCAAACCCCAAGCCTAGGTCAAATGTTGGCCTTAGAACTGCTTTATTCCTTGCACCGACAAATTTGCAATTATGCACTTGAGCATACTTTGTCAAAAGGTACCCACTTGAGTGGCTCACCATTATTGACAACAGTGTTAAAAAACTTCTTAATGTTATATTTGGATACATGATGATTTGCATTTAAATTTAGATTTAAGTCAAATTTATTGTTTGGATAATTAAAAATGTATAGATTTGGATTTGACCCAAATTCAAATTCAAGTTTTATTTCAATCTCCTTGTAATTTGAAATCCTTTCTAAACCCCTATTATTTCAAATCCTATATCAATCTCTTTGTAATTTGACCGGCCAATTGGTAGCATCAAATAGGACCAGATTGCTAGTAGAGACAAGGACCAAACCGTTGCCACCGTCAACCAGGATTGGCTTGTACCCTCCAACTGAGACTAGACAGTCGACACCAACCGAGATTAGATGATAAACTTCCATTGAGACTAAACCAACGGCAGCACACATGGATTGGATTGTCAGCACCAACTAGAGCTGGACCGTCAGCACCAACAAGTAGGGGTGTTCAGCTTGAATTCGTTTTCATTGGCCCGATATTGTCCCAATCATATCGGGACGGGTCTTGTCCTGGTCTAAAAATAATCGAGATGGGATTTTATAGGATGGGATAGGAAAGGGGTTCTGGACGGGATGGGATACAAGATTACCATTGGGACGTCCCGTCCCCTCCCAAATATTATATATATTTTTTTTATTTTAAATATATTAATAATATTAATATAATTTATACTTATATTAATTATATCAATTATAATTTCAATACTTGCAATTCTTATTTAAAGCTAAAGTTTTTTTTATATTGGTAATTTTAATGACATAGATTAAACATTGAGATATCTTTCTTTATAATATATTAATTATATTAATATAATTTATTCTTATATCTATCTATTTAATAACTTTTATTTATAATGTATTTCTCACTTTATTTTCAAAAGAGTAATTAGCTTAGTACATCTCCACTAAAGTAGAAAAACAATGATTTGATATTGTGCTTGACTTATCTGTTGCTACTTTTATAGTATAAAGATCACTTATATTTGCTATTATAATATGTAGTTGTAATTAATATAATTTAATAATTAACTTTAAATTGTTGTGATTTATGTACTTGTGTTGTTTTGATTTTAAACTTAATAAACTATATAATTTAAAATTTTAATAAACATTATTATCTAAATCTTTCTCTGATATTATCTCATTTATCGGGACGGCGTGACGTCTCGATCATGTCCCGATCCCGTCCTGACTCCTAACAGGACGGGATAACTTTCGGGACAGAATGGGACACGATATTAAATTTAGTCCCAATCTTTTTTCTAAGATGGGACACGGGATGGGGTTGTTTTGATCTTGTCTCATCCCGTGAACACCCCTACCAACAAAGACCATAATGTTGGCACCAACTAGGGCCAAAGTGCAGGTGAAGACTGAGATCAAATGGTTGACGTTCATTAAGAAAGGACAGCTAGTGCCAACCGAGACAGAAGTGCAGGCAACAATTGGAATCGAATGGCCGACGTTGACCTGGATTGAACGGCTAGTGTTGACCAAGATTGGAGTGCAGGCAATGATTAGGACAAAGTGCCAAGTTCCACTAGCATCGTACTGTCGGTGTCGACCGGGACTGAACTATAGGGAGCTATCAAGATTGAATAGATTACTTCGATTAAGATTGGACGGCTGGCGCCAATCGAAACTAGAGTGTAGTGATAACAAGGACTGGAAGGCCAACTTTCATAAGCACTGGACCACCACCGTCGTCATGGACTAAGACAGAAGTGAAGGCGATGACTAGGATTGAACGACCAACTTTCACCGAGACTGAACCATTGGCACCGATTGGGACAAGAGTGCAGGCAATGGATCAAGAATAGATGGCTAACTTCAACCAAGATCGGACGATCGGTGCTAACTAAGATCGGAGTGTAGGCAATGACCGAGACTAAACGATCAACTTTTATTGAGACCAAAGTGCAGGCAACTATCAAGACCAAATGACTGACTTCCACCGACACCACATCACATTCGATGACCAAGACCGAACCTTCGATGTCGATTACGATTAGATTATAGGAGACAATCGGGATTGGATAACCAACTTCCACCAATACTACACAATCGATGAGATCGAGATTAGACCACTTACGCTGGTTAGGATCGAACGGCCATCACCGACCAAGACCTGAGTGCAGGCGCTTAACAAGACTAGACGTCTGACTTCCATTAGGACCGGACAGCCGACACCATTTGGGATTGAAGTGCAGGCAATGGTTGGGATCAGACGATCAATTTCCACTAAGATCAGACTAATGGTGACCAAGACTAGAGTACAGGTGACAACTAGGATTAGAAGGACAACTTCTACCTGGACCGGACCGCTGACACCGAACGGGATCATAGTGGAGGGGATGACCGGGATTGAATAGATAACTATTCAATCCCAATCAGTGCCAACAGTCTTGTCCGTTTTGTTACCAACAATCATGTCCCGGTGGGTGATAGTGGTGTGGTGTTGGTAGAAGTTAGCCTTTCAATCCCGATCAACATAGGCGATTTAGTCTCTATGGAAGTCGATCATCTGGCCTCGGTTAGCATTAATTGTTTTATCTCACTAGAAGTTAGGCATTCGATCCCTATCATCACCTAACTTCAGTCCCAATTGGCGACGACGTCCTCTCCTGGTTGGTATTGGCAATTAAGCCCTGATCGCTGTTGACAGTATGATCTCAGTGGAAGTCAATCATCGGGTTTCAGTCTTTGCCTACAATACAATCCTAGTGAAAGTATGTCGTTCGATCCCAATAGGCACCAGTAGTCTGGTCTTAGTGAAAGCTGGCCGTCCAAACTACCGACTTTGATTAGGATTGGGCTACTAACATTCTTTAAGTTGATTTGAAATTCAAACATAAAATTTAAAATTTTATTTAATGTCCAAACAAAAGATTTTAATATTATAATTTAAAATTCTTTATATCATCTTAACAAAGAATTTAAAATATATAAATTTTAAATGTAAGATTTCAAATATGAGATTTCAAATTCAAATTTTTAACTCAAATTCACGCATTCAAACCCAACCTAAAAATATTTCAAGCATAACACATAAAAATACAAGTAACATGTAACAAAAAAAAATACATAAATATAAATTAAAACATTAAAGTCATAATTGAAGTTTTGGAGCTATCAAAAGAATGTATGAATCCTCTGTGATTAAAGATCCATAAATTTCTATGAAATTTGTTGTTAAAATATTTAAACATTTCTTAATAAGTAAATTTCAGCAAAATTGATGGACCTCAGAGGATCCATAAACATCAAAAGAACCAAAGAACCACTTATGCAACATGGGAAACATAAAGATGACACATCCTGGACAACACGATTTCTAACGGGTCGAAAAGCTAATACGATTAGATTGGGTTAGATTTTCGGCTTGCATTTCGGGAAGTTTCAGGGTCCAACTATGTTAAGTGTTGTGTCTCTGAAGGGTTAAATCTAAAGAATTTATAATTAAAAAAAATTTTGAGATCATTTTCAATTTTTATTAGGCTGGACTAACTAAAACCGAAATAGGCTTAGCAAATGCCTTACCAGGGTGCAGCACCAGATATAAAAGTAAATTATTTATTTTAAATGAAATAATGAATGATAAGGTTGACCGGGTGAGGTGGGGGAGCTGGCAAAGAAAAAAAAATGGTGCCATAGGGGAAGTAATTAAGGCACAAATACTCTTATTCTTAACGTGATGAAAGAATGAAAGAAATAATTATCCCACAACCATACAAACTCGAAAGCACAGAATTAGGAGATGCAAACCTTGGGGAGGTTGGGGAGCAGTTTATTACTTTTCTTGCTTTTCCAAAATGCAGCTGCTTTGTGCCATGGTGCAATTTTTTTTTTTTTTTTGGGACTGAACACGGTGCAATATTTTAGCTATAAGTTATAAAATGACATTAGGATTCAGGACTGAAGAGGCACTAGTAGTGAATGGAATTTTGGCTTATTTTCTATGTACAGTCGGGAAACGTATAACAAATGGCAAGCGCAAAGATGGTGGGCAGAGAACTATGAAAGGGTCATGGAACTTTACAACGTTCAAAAGCTTAATCTCCATGCTTTCCCTCATCCAACACCACCAAGATCTGAAGATGAGGTAAACTCTGGATTTATGTATATTTTAGACATGGGATAATACTATCTAGTAATTTCAAGCTACATGTTACTTGAAACAAATAAATGGTCACAGACTTGAGGCGCATATATCGCTCAGCATTTCTTCCATTTGTTTGTAATGCACTGTGCACAGTAGCAACGGCGACACAAGTAAATGTTTATATGCATTTGTTAACTAGTTATGCCATTTTCACATTACTAATTTTTTCTCTTCGTAAAGAGGTCAAGGCATCTTTATATTGTTTCCAGTTAACGTTCTCTATTTTTCAAGGGCCAAAAAGTATTGCCAGCTGAAGGAAGCTGTTCTCATTTTGTCTATTTTATTGGTTTGGGGTTTGTGACAGCTCTCAAAACTGGAATCAGCAGAAGATATCCCTGTGACACCTCCACTAACCAAAGAACGATTACCTCGTAATCTAAATCGTCCAACAGGGATGGGAACGGGATACTCGTCGTCTGATTCTTTTGACCATCGTTCAATGCAATCCCGCCATCATCATGAATCGGGTGGTCTCAACTCAACCCCTAAAGTCTCCACCATAAGCACGGCCAAGACAGAAGCATCATCGATGGACGCCTCTATGAGAAGTAGCTCTTCCAGAGAGGCTGATCCTTCAGGGGACATATCAATCAGCAATGCCAGTGACCAAGACACTGAATGGGTCGAGCAGGATGAACCTGGGGTTTATCTAACTATCAGAGCATTGCCAGGTGGTAAAAGGGAGCTAAGACGAGTCAGATTCAGGTATGTTTGCCTCCAACTGTTGGGAAAAGATAGGAATCAGAAATAGAAGAAATTATTAGGATATGTCATAAGGAGAAGAACCCACCATTAGATTCTGGCTGGTTCAGTTGAAGAACCTTAAGACTTAAATATAGACTTCTAAATACTTAAAAAAGTTATAATGCTGATGTTATAGGTTACTTTTCCGGCAAACTAATCTACTTGGACGCGTGCCTTGTAGAGTTGGCGATACAGTTGTCCCAAATCCTTTCATCTCTGTTATAGGTCTGAGGTTTCAGATTGTTCTTCACCTGGTCACTAGAAAAATTTATTTCTCTTGGTTTTCAGTGTATTTTTTTGTTGTAGACTTGTTTCATTTTGATGGAGAACCATATAGAATTAATTTCCGAGCATTTTCTCACGTGTGGTGCAGCCGAGAAAGATTTGGGGAGGTGCATGCTAGATTATGGTGGGAGGAGAATCGTGCTAGGGTACATGAACAATACTTGTGAGATTGAGGAAACTTCAAAGAGCATGGAGGTGTTGTTGCTTATGGAATTGTTTCATACCTGTTTTACCATACTAGAAAGTCTCATTATAGGTAATTGGATATCACAAGAGGTGTTACACTGTTACTGGCACCTCTGCATTTTTAGGCTACATAAATAGCTAGTCACACTACGTATATTTGTGTGATCGGTTCAATTTTCTATTGGATGTAAGTGGTAAATTTACCTTCGATTATTTCCTTCAGATATAACAATTATGCTTCATAATAGTTGGGTGGGTGTAAATTCTATGGTAAATCAAATTGGGTACTTGTTACTTCTTGTTTCCACATAGGGGTGCAGGCATTCATCTAACCGCGACTGCACTTCTCTCAAATTTCTTTGAGGATAACATTTCGGCACTCAAATGAACTGATATCTCTTCAATCGTGTTCAAACTTTCCAATTGAGAATGCGTCGGTTGTTATCAACTTATCATTGCTCTTTAACAAGGAGTGTTCTTTTATGTTTAGTTACTAGAAAGAAATAGAATAAATTAAAAAAATAAAAGTAAAAATGAGATGACAAAAAAAAAAATAGTGAACCACACACATAAGGGAAGGGGTAATCTAGTTCATGGAATTGGGAATCATGACTCATAAAATTTTTGATAAGTGTAATGATTCTCACATTTATAGTATCTATTAATGAATTTTATTATACTTATCATGAAAATGAATTATGATTTAGTTCATTTTTTTGTTAATTTTTTCAATCCATTCTATTCTATTCCTTTCTAATAATTAATCATGACTGAAATCTCAACCAACGCAGAATAACAATAAATGAGTACATCCTATTTTTCTGGATTTTAGATAAGTGGCATTCTTTGAGGGGGAGAAAAGGGCAAGGACTGGGTTAATTGGCATTCGGGTTGTCGGGGGATGTTTGTTCAAGGCGGTCCACATTGGGCCTGGATTGTCTGTGTCTTTGGGCCTAGGACAAGGCCCGAAATGCCACATTCTCTCTCTCTCTCTCTCTCTCTCTCTTTTGACGATAGAAATACCACATTCTCTCTAGGCCAATTGGTTTAACGCAAAAGTAGAAAATAGAAAGTAAAAAATTGTCGCATCATCAAGAATTCAAGATGGCCATGTTTGATTTAAAATTTTAAATGAAACTTATTTCTTCACTCATTATTCCTTCTTCCTTTGACTGTCCTTTGATCATTCCATTGTTAGATCATTGGAATAAATTTGGGTACAAGTATCACCAGTCAGATTAGCCTTTTAAAAGCAATTTTATTCAAGCCCACGGTCAAAAAACATCAGGGGCAATTTTATCATTTACCTTCTCTCTTTTTTCTATTTTTATTATATTTTATTCTATACACACGCGCGCGCGTATATAATCGTTCCTATTCTTGTCTACAGCTAAAACATACTATTATTATCATTCCATCTCGCTAATCTAATCCATCATAATAAACATACCGTAAGTTTTGAATCCCCCAACCGTTAACTAAAATCTCCCCAAATTTATCAAACTATCCCATCTCATTATCCTACTGGGAAAATTATCCAACTCGGGGAACAATCGTATAAACTAGCAAGATGTATGGAGGTTGTGGCATTACTTATTAACTGTTAAAGAATACTAATGTCTAATCTTTTGTATGCCTATCACTAAGTTCTTTCATTCAGGTTCATCAAAGTTTTAAAATGAAAAGAGAGAAAAAATGTGAATGTGCGATAAATGACACTATTTTTTATTTTGTGTGATAAAATAATAAAAATAAAAATAATTTGAATGATAAAACCAAAATACAGTAGATATTAAACATAAATTTACCCAATTTTTCATGCACTTGCAATTTATTAAGGAGAAGACTTAAATATTTAACCTTATATACTTCATAAACTTTTATTCAATTAAATCAAGGGGTTTTTGCATATATAACCCATTTTATAAAATCAAACCCAATAAGCAACTTAACATTTGTTATATTTTACATTATAGTCATTTTAATATTTAATTGATCTTTATATGATAAAACTATCTTTTATACAAATAATATGACTTTCTTTCCAAAAAAAAATTAAACAAAAACTTTCTTTCAAATACTTGAAGATGGGAGAGAGCTTCATTTGACTCTCTTTAAAAAAAATGATAAGATTAAACATCACTATATCCACACAATTAAATAATGTTGATAAGTTTTTATGATAAATTATTGTAGATCAAAAATACAAAAAAAAATAATCATTTACCTAAAATATATCAAACACAATCCATAAAAGATTCTAGATATCTTAGCTTATTAGAGAATCAAGTACCTAAACTAGTAAATATCATTTTTCATCATAAGAAATGATGAAATTGAGCATTTTCATATCTACAAGATTAAATGGTGTTGATAAGTTTTAACTGATATAATTTATTAGTGATATACTATCATGGATTAGAAATATGAAAAAAACATAATTATTTTCTCAAATAAATTAAACATAGTCCCTAAAAAATTTTTGGTATCTTGACTTATCACAGATAATTAAATACCTCTTTTTAATGGAAGTTTTAGGTTTATATTTATTTTCACTCAAGGAAGCTTAGCAATGAGACTCATTTGCCTAGGCACATAATTGAACTATTTATTTTGGAATGTCTCTTGAAGAAAAATGCACTTATTAGAACAATAAAAATGCAATTCGTGAATATCACTTTGATTCCTTCGCCCACTAAAAGAGGAAAAGATCAATTGTGAAAAGGGGAGAAATATGATAGACGTACACGTAAGGAATTGATTTAGTTAATTAAGGATTAAAATTATTTAGTTAGTTATTGGAGATATATTTGTGAACTAATTTATGCAAAGTATTTTAATAATATATTTGTTATATGGATAAAAGAAAAAACTATTTCTCATTAATTTTGTGAACGAGTCGAGTCACATTTAAAAACCTCATTCATAATTTATGAAAACTGTATTTTTTATGATCATAGGTCAATTTACTCTTAAATCAAGATAATTTAATTTTAATGTATTAACAATTTATCACGAAATAAAAAGTATATAAAAGATCTACACATCTTTAATTAAAAACAAGTATCTTCAACATTTAAAATATGATAAATGTATATTTTTATTTTTAAAATATTATTTGAGAAGTGCCTAGTATTTTAAATTATTAATAAAGTGCCTAGTATTTTAAACTATTAGTTAGAATAATTTTATCTTTAAAGTAATTAAAATATAATATTTTTATCTTGCCGTCAAAATTTTAACGTTGACTGATAAAAAATGCTAATTAATACTTTAATGTTTACCATTAGATAATTTAATAGCATAGACAAAAATGTTTTATTTTAATTTCTTTGATGATAAATTTATTTTAATTAATAATTTAAAGTGTTGCGCGTTTCTAAAAAAATTCTTTATGAACAAAATGCAAATTTACACTGTAATATGCTGTTCATCATGCAAAAATCGAAACACCATCCTTTACAAGCACCCGTTTTTTTGTTATACTGGAAAAAAGCCCAGAACTAAATTTGCTGAACGAAGTACTAGCATTTAGAAGGGAAGGGAACAAGATTCAGACCAAAAAAGTGAAACCACGTGATAAGATATTTGTTAAATCTTGTTTAATAACTGTAAACATGAAACAGAATTTAATAACTGTATTCATTCAGATCGCCATTGATAAAGCTGAAGCAGCAGCACCAGCCATGAAGGTGGATGAGTTCTGAAAAGATAACCCGCACGCGCGCAAGTCACTTTCCCTCTCTCCTTTTTTCCTCAGAAAGAAAATTCCCTCACTCGCTTCAAAATCCAACACTGTCATATCACCTCATCATCATTACCTTTTACCTTTTCTCTAAGCAATCTCTCTCTGTCTCTCTCTTTGTCGTATTTCTTCTCTTCCCTGTTAACCTAAAGCTTTACATTTCAACAACACCTCAACGTGACCTCTGTAACACACCACCTTCTAAATCTCACCCGCTTTCTCTGTTTCTCACATGACCCGTTTGCCTTCTGTTTATTATTATTTATTAATTTCCATCGCAGCTTTTGACATTCTTTGTCTCAACATTACAGCTCTTTCCCTCTCTTAAACTAATCGTCTCTGTCCTCTTCTCTTCCTTCGTCTTTATAAGTTCTGTCTTCTTCTGCTTCTTCTTTGTTGAACTGTGCTCTGAAAAACATGTACAAGGAGGAATCTTTCCCTCAGAGAAGAAGAACTCCGTCTTTCTCCTCCAGCCTTCTTGACGCCATTTATCGCTCCATTGACGAACCAAAATTCGGTCTTGGTGAAGATCTTGAATTGGGCGTCTCGAGACAAAGCAATTTCAAGCAGAGTGTTTACATGGAAAAGGCAGGGAAAGTGAGGATGAATCTTCGTCGAGCCGTTATGATGGAGGATTGGATGGAGAAACAAGGCTCTCTGTTGTTCAAGTCTTCTTCAAGCTCATCGGAATGTAGCTCTCGTGGTGCTGCATTTTCGTTCTCAGATACAGAGGCCAGCTTCAGAAAACTGAGGCCAAAGCTCAGATCCGAGGGGATCACCCAGAAAAATGAGAAGCCTAAGAAAGCGAAGCAGCCAATTTCACCGGGGAGTCGAATAGCTAGCTTCCTGGGTTCCATCTTCAATTCTGGGAATGTGAAGAAGGCCAAGATGTGCTATGTCGGGGCTGTAGAAGATGTCGGCCTCGAAAGAAAATCGAAATCTCCGTCTTTATCCACTTCCTCTGCTTCTTCATTCTCTTGCATGAGAAAAACTCCAAAAGGCAAGAAGTCCGGCAATGGAAGTGCCAAGCGATGCGTGAGATTTTACCCAGTTAGCGTAATCCTAGGAGAGAACGAAAACTCTCAGCCGTGCCAGAATAATCCAAACAGTGTCCGGAAATTCCCGAGAAATCCTTCCATGAAGAAGTTGAAGAGCTGCTCTGTAATGGCTAAAGAAAACAGAGTAGACACAAAACAAGCATGTGGTGAATTACATTTCAGAGGGCTGTATGGTCGTAACAATGAACATGAGGTTGATGAAGACGACGATGCTTTGAGCTGTTCGAGTTCAGATTTGTTCGAGCTGGATCATCTTGTTGGAACTGCAAGGTACCGAGAAGAGCTTCCGGTTTATGAAACTACGGATTTAGAAACTAATAAAGCCATTGCCAATGGTCTTCGTTTGTAGTCTTGTAACCTTCAAAGACAATGTCATTCTATTTCATTCCTCACTTTGTGGAATTATTTCATTCAATTATTTTTGTTTTTTGTTCTTTTCCCTCTAAAAAGAGGTAAAACAATATTTATGTACTTAAAAGTATATATTTATTTATTTAGTATATTTTTTCTAATTAAGTAGATTATAAATTTACAAAAAACAACTGAAGTTGAATAACCATAGTTAGTTATATTGTAAAGTAGATAGAAAAAAAAGAATCGGTATGTTCTGATTTAATTGAGAAAAATAACAAACATGCAACAATAATCATATGAGCATCTAATTTTTTTAAAAAAATGACAAATAAACCTCAAAATGATCAATTAATTTAAGTTAAGTTTAAGTGCTACACTTTAAAAATTTGCAATTTCATCTCTTAATTTTGTAACTACGTTATGATGAATTTATAACTTATTTTTTAAATTTTAACATGGTTAAAGAATAAAAAATTTTATTTTCTCTATTAAAATTTGGAATACAGGTTACAAATTTATCACAATGAATTTATAAAATTGAGTGATTAAGTTATAAATTTCTAAAATTCGACACCTGAAACCTAACTTAAATTAATTAATCCTTTTAAAACCTTTCTATTATGCTCCTAATTTTTTTTCCCAACAGATAAGCCCCTGAACCTGCTTGAAGAATATTCTGCTTGGCCTAACTTTGAATTTTTGCTTGCAAGATGAAAAATAATTTTAATTAAATTTTAATCAATTTGAAACAAATTGAACATTTCAGTAAAACAAAAAATCCATTTAAACCAACTAAATGATTAAATTCATTCATAACAATCACTTTTCATTGTGTAGAATTAAGAAACATGTAATTTTAACTATATTTCATAATCTCTTACCTTAGTCCTTCTAATTCTAAAATTGACTCTCTCCAATTCAAAATATAAACATTTTTTGAAAAATTTATGCATATCAATAAAATCTTCATTCTTATAAAAATATATATATTATTTTTTATCCTTACTCTTAATTATTAATGCATTCTATGACGAGTAAGAGATACATTTACACAAATATTTAGATTGTTAAATAAAGAGGTAAAATGGAAAATAAATTTTTTACATGTAATAAGTTGTTTATATTTTAAATCAAAATCAAATAGGAAAAATGCTTATATTTTAGACTGAAAAGAATATTTAACAATATAAAATTGTGTTATGAATTTAATTATTGAAGATTTGATTTTTATACAAACCCATAGAATTGAAGTAAGATTAATAATAGGTGAATGATTGAGAATGGAGAAGAATATATAATACCTAAAAAATGGTTAGTATAGAATTGAAATAAAGTACAGGTGATAATAGTGAAATTGGGTAATCCCTATTTGGATAGCAGGGTTTGTTAGGAGATACCAAGACAAACTGAAAAGAGAAAAGTGAAAGGCAGCCTCAACGATAAAGTTTTAAAAGAGAAAAGCATAGCCTTTTCCATCAGCTTAGCACATGGCTTCAGTGAGTGACTTAGTTAAAAAACAAACACAACACACCCCAACTTTTAACTTCATGGAACATTGTAATTAAAATCATTATACCACTTTCCAACTTCGCAACTTCTTGCCCGTTTCAAAACTCATAATTACTTTCTCAATTTGAATTCCTACCTTTATTTTTTTTTTAATAATTGTTCGACTATCAAAGTGTAAAACAATTTGAGTTTATGCATAGAGTGACACATTTAGATAAAATCATGTTTAATAATTAATTTATGATAAAGTGAAATGATTTTTAATAAAGTTTGAGTTAAGATACTGTTTTTATCACTATTCTTGCTCATCATTTATCCCCCATTTTCAAACCTTGACTATATAAAAATATTATTTATTATAACAACTAAACTTTCATTAAACTAGTTTTTATTAAATAAATTTTTAACAAATTAAATTATTCTCATTTTTAAGTAATCACTCTCCATTTTTAACCATAATCATATTTATATACTCAAGATTATTACAAGTAATATTTGAACTTTGAAGGGACAAAAACATTATGGCTCTCAGATCCAAACAAACTCATACAAGAGTGATCTTTCCTATTTCTAGATCCCATCTCATCATTCGAACCACCAAGCTGGTCCTAAACACAATAATTGAACAAAAATAACATTAAAAACTCTGGAATGAGGCGTGGAGTAACAACTAACAAGGAACATAATCAAAAGCACGAAGCAAAACCACAAGAGTAAGTACGTACGAAGAAGCAATAACATAAGAACATTATTTTACAGTGAATACTGAGCATTTTGCAGAGAATAAATAGTGGGAAGACAAAGCTAAAACATGCAGAAACACAACAATGACATTTTTAAAACACAGTGCCAGTGAGTATAAGAGGTTATGTTCCTCACCAACCAAACACAACTTGTGCAACTTCAATATTTATTATACACTCACCTTCTGTATGCATTAATAGCAACTTCATGCGGAGAAGCACAAGCAACGTCCCATTATCACTCAATCCAACCACCACGTGTCACCCCCAACCCTTTTTTATTTATATATTATTTAATTATTTTTTAAAAATATATTTATTTTTTTTGTGCACAAAAATATACTTGTACATTACTCCAATCCTCACTCACTCCTCAAAGGCTCAAAAAACACTCATGGGACAGGAATAAATCATGAAATAGATGTCCTTATTTTCAAGGCCTTATTACTTAAACGTCAGGCCCAACGTGTAGGCCCATCATGCAATATGCAAACAGCACATTGGCCCAAGAATGAAAAGTAGAGCCCAAGGGCAAAACAAGTCACCTACGTGTGATGGAGAGAGGAACGGGTTCGTTGATGACGGCGACGATGATTCCTTCGTAGAACGTTTACCGCGTAAGAAAGCTGGACCATCTTCTTCGACGAAGACATAAAAAACTCAAGCTCAGAAGCATTATATACGATTCGAGGATACTCGCTTTGTTTTCCTGCTTATAGCTATTTGATTCTATTTCAAATCTCAGTTTCTAGCATATCGATTTGTATTTCCATTCCAGCGCCATGAGTTTCATCTTCGGGAAAAGAAAGACTCCCGCAGGTTTGTTGACGCGTCCATATTATAAACGTCCGAATTTGATGTAATTTGTGTGGATTGAATGTCGAGTTGATGAATTCTCCGACGGGATTCATCTATTCGGGTTATGCACATCATGTCAATTAGGTTTTTTGTCCGCTATTTCCCCACTTTTGCATCCCCTCCTTGTTTTGATCATATGAAAAAGTTCAATAACTAGTGATTTTGCTTTAGTCAAACGTTGAGGCATGATCTATTCGATTTAACTGAGCCGCATGACTGGATCTTATTTTCATTTTCATTTTGTTCTTTTTTCTAGTTGTGGGAATCAGAATATTAAGATTCATCCATTGACATAGTGGTGATTACGTTAAATTTTACAAACAGCTTGATATTGATTTTGAAGTACATGACTGTGAGTTTGTAATTTTCAGAGCTTTTGCGGGAAAACAAGAGGATGTTGGACAAATCAATCAGAGAAATAGAACGGGAGAGACAAAGTTTACAATCACAGGAGAAGAAACTGATTGCGGAGATCAAGAAAACTGCCAAACAAGGCCAGATGGTATGGTGTTTTTATAGAACTAGTAGCATCTGCATTATACTATCTGCTGGCTTCACAGTTTCAAACTTGAGAATTACGATTTCAAGCCTACAAGCCACCCCTCTGATATAGGGCTAGTTTTGCACCTGAATATGGGTTCCTATTCCCCCTGCCCCCCAAAACCAAATTCGAAGCACAGAGCTTTCTTATTCTGACTTCTAAGACTATGCCAGCTTATCTGATATTTTACTATTTTCATCAAGTTTGCCCATCGACACTTGTGGTGAGGTCATCATTACTCTGATTTCTGAAATACAGTTCGCAAGAATTTCAAGGATTAAATTTTTGTAGTTGGTGGTTTGACTGCAAATGACTGTTTTACTGTTCTTGTTGCCATATTTAAATTAGTAATCTAGTTTGGTTTCTTGCATGTGGATCAACGAGCAAATCGATTCTCACTTTTGTAGCAGATATCTGACATTTAATGATGCTGAATTTTTGTTCATCAATTGTAAAGGTTAACACCTGATTTATTTGTTAAAGTGGGTATAACGTGTTTCACTAAATCCATTTCATATTGTATATAATTTCAGGGAGCTGTAAGGGTGATGGCCAAAGATCTTGTCAGAACTCGACATCAAATTGAGAAGTTTTATAAGCTTAAATCACAACTCCAGGGTGTATCACTTAGAATTCAGGTATGCACTTAATGCTGTAGTTGGTTAATCTTACAAACGGGTTTGTTCTAGCTGACTTGTACGTGATCATTATAAGAGGCTATATTTGTTCTGATTTCTGAAGATAAAGTCATTTTTTCCTGCAACAAAGTGATTAGCATATGCATTGAACATGAGAGATTCTTATGTATATCAAACTGATGATAAATAGGCTAGCAAGTAGGTCGAAGGTGGGTCCCATTGAGAAATATGCCCAGTATGTTTATGCGTCATTTCATGATTACTTTGGTTATTTACTTCATATTGGCTATAGACCGATCTGCTTCAGGTTGTCATATTAGAACCCATGGGTTTACGTAAATAGGGTGCTAAATTTTGGTATCTTCTGTAACACAACTGTGCAGACTCTGAAATCAACACATGCAATGGGTGAGGCAATGAAAGGTGTGACAAAGGCAATGGGGCAGATGAACAGACGAATGAACTTGCCATCATTGCAAAAGATCATGCAAGAATTTGAAAGGCAGAATGAGAGAATGGAGTTGACGACTGAGGTCATGGGAGATGCCATAGATGATGCTCTGGAAGGGGACGAGGAAGAAGAGGAAACAGAAGAACTGGTGAACCAGGTTCTTGATGAGATTGGAATTGACATAAACCAGGAGGTATATTAACAACTCTTCATCTTCTTTCACAAACTGAAAGAAAAATAATTTGTCGCTATAACTTATAACATTGCCCCTAACAAGTTTTGATTTCATGCACAGCTTGTAAACGCACCATCAGCAGCAATTGCTACTCCCGCAGTAAAATCTAAGGTGCCTCAAGTTGAAGCTACAGGGAATGATGACGGTGGGATAGATAGTGATTTACAGGCAAGGTTGGACAATTTGAGAAAAATGTAATCTTCACTTTCCTTGGTATATATACGAGCTGTATCTGCCATGAGAGCTTCTTTTTCTCCCTTCTCTCCCTTTCTGGGTGTATATAAAGCAAGTTTGATTGTTTGAACTGTGTTTCATCACTCACTCGCACCCACGGCCCACGACTTAGATTATCGCAACCCCTCCTGGTTCTTTTTTCCCTTCTCCGAGGCAGAGATACCCTTTGCAGTGTCCATGCTGGTTATTTGGCTCTTCTTGAACGAATGTGTTCTTGTTGGTTTTTTCTCTGACAGCCTCTCATAACAGCTTTGAAATGTATTGATAATGGTTTGCTGATGTGAACATCTCTCAAAGGGTCTGTAAGTAATTGTTGCTCTCAACTCTTATTTTTTTGGGTGTATTAGGTGCCGTTAGCCAATTATTTTTTTATTGACACTCTTAGCCAATTATTGTCAGCATATTTCATAGGCTTTGCTATCACGGACAATATTATTAAACTTTACGCTCCATTCCTTTGCATGCACTGTGTAGGATTCGCTTTGTCTGTGTGTGTGTGTGTTATACTAGAAGGGTTTGAATCCTTGAATTCTATTTATCCATACCAACTTGAGCCCACGTTTGGCGTGTGAGAATCCTAAATGTGGAATGGGAATTGGACATGGAATCTGAATTTTAGCATGTTTGGTATGGTAATATCTGGATTCTCTAGAATCATGATTCCGACAAAAAAGCCATATTCAGATTCCAACAAAACCACCATTGAATTGGCTCAATTCCCACGGAATCCTCTCTTGGATATTTTGACCCTCACCAGCATCATCTTGCTCCAACCCAACAGATCTGCCTTCCCACTCATGAATTGCTAAATTTTCTTGGCCTTCTCTTGTTTCGTTTAAAGAAGCATCAGCCCCAATCGTTCGAATTGTAACCATCCTGTTGCCAACCTCATTGAGTATGGCTTTGTCGATGGTAATTAGCGGGTAGAGTGGAGTAGTCAAGCCATTCCAACTAAATTGTCTCCATGATGGTGGCTGGAGGATTACGGAGGTAGCTTACATGCCATTGGGTTGTGCGAAAGGGCAATGATTGATGGAAAAAGGTTGAAGTTATGTAAACTTGATGATAACGCTGATGTTGAAATTGATGAACTTGAAAGAAGTGTAAGAATATGGCAACCATATGATGGCTTTAGATTGCAGTTTTTCTGGTCTCTGTTCATGAAAGAAATGATTTTCTCTTCGTCCGTCGGCACCGCCTTGCAGATCATACAGGCAGTTAAGCACCATCACAATCGCAAGGATGATATTTTCTAAAAAAAAAAAAATTGAAATGGACACTTTGATCTTTTCTTAATTTAAATAAATAAATTTATTAAAATTATAATAGTATTCTATCATCATACTAAATATATTTTTAAAATATATTTTTTTTATTTTGATTTCAATTCTAATTTTATTAAAAACTCTTTTATGATACTAAACAAGGCTAAAGTGAATCTTAATTGTATAATTTACTTTCTACTTTCATATGGAACTTACAAAAGGGGAACCATGAGGCAAAAAATGGTAATATAAGCATGAGGTTTTGTTCTACCCCTCATTAGGCATTCGATGTTCTTTGTTTTTTAGGGGCAAAAATAAGCATGAGGTTTTCTTTCCTTAATTGGTAGTATATTAAATAAATATTCCCTCCTTCACCCAAAAAACAAAAAAATGCTTCTACATAAGTAGATTGGGTCTTATGCAATTGTATCGGATCCAATATAAAATACTCCATCCATCTTAAATTATAAAATATTTTTAGAAAATATTTGTGGTCCCAAGGTATAGAACATTTTGAGAGGATTAATATTTTATTAAATAGGTTTATTTCAATATTACCCTTTCTCTCTTTCTCTTTAATACAAGTTAGGTGTGAATTTAATGTTATTAAATGAAGGGGTTTTTTTTTTTTTTTTTTACCTGAAGCATGATTTCATTAGATAGAAACAAAATACAATCACCAAAGCCAAGAATAGAAGATCAAACTAGGACAAGATTGGCAAAGAACCCCAAACTAACACAACACCTAAGCCAAACAAATAGCTGAAGCCAGAACCTTGCAGATCTGAGGATAGGCAAAGATCTTGTCCAATATGATCATTAAGAGATGGCAAGTAGAAGGTGGTTGTTTGAGGACATGTTCAGTCGAGCCCAGCTTCTTTGACACCGATGCTGCATGACAAATTGCAGCTCAAACAATTCCTCTAAGAATAGAGGAAAAGGAGACCTGAAAGTTAAAATTAACTTCCAAAAAAAGATGATCATAGTAGAGTTAAGCCAGACCAAGCCATAGAAAAAAATGATCCACAAAGAAAGGCAGAAATAAAGATAGAGAGACACACAAAGAGCACAATATAGAAATAAAACAAACAACCAAATCCTAAACAAAGCAAAATGAGGCAACCAACAGAAGAAAAGCTCAACCAAAGAGCCCTACACCCGTGGTCGCAGCAAGACAAAGACCTCATGGCCTTCGGGTGGTTGCAAGACAACCACCAAGCTTCACAAAAAACACTATCGTCAAACCTTCCTACAGCAGATTCACATTATCCATAATGTTCACTTTCGCCTTTCCTATCTCCACTCTTTGCGGGAGCCCACCCTCAGCATCCATAATTGATAGAATATTCCCAGCCCCTTTCTTCACGGTTGCCACAACCTTTGGGTCTTTTGGCTGGAACCACCATCAATCCCTTGTTTTTCCTTCATTAAAGATCCATCCACTGTCACTTAGCAGTGATCGGAGAGAGAACCCACTAAAAACCTTTAGTGCCATTACAAAACCCTAGCTGTGACCAAGGAAAGAACATCCAAACAGTGCAGAGAAACTCTCTTGTATGGAGAGAAAAAGCTCACCCTAAAAGCGAGAGAGGCAATTTAATGAAGGATATTTTTGAAAGTTTACATTTTTATTTTTAAAAAAATAAGATTGTTAAATATATTTAATGAGAGTTATTAATATATAAAATTTTATTTAAAAGTGTTATATAATTTAAGATGGAGGGAGTGCATTGTTTTTACCTTCTAAATAATGCAACTTTTTAGAAGTTTTATAGATATAATTATGGATTGGATTCCTTGTTTTACATTGAGTTGAAGTGAGCATATATTATTTATAACTTTATGATAGTTGTGATTTTATTATATTTAGATACGAATTAAAATGGACAGATCACATAACTTAAGGAGAGAGTTGTACAGTTTACAACTTGTGAGTGAATAGTATAACTTTTTATGATATGCATTGTTATTAATTTAATTCCTGAATGGCATGTCTTTTTTATAATTTTTATTTTGAACAAGTTATTGCTTTATACAAATAAATTTCATATATTTTGTAACTTGTTCTATGTGCATGTTGAATTAGTCATTCAAATAAAAAAAATAAAAAGTTTAATCTAATAGAGAAAGCAACACATTATCAATAAACTTTGAGGGAATAATTCAAAATTGAAATATAGAAATAAATCCAGTCACTGAGATGTCAAGGAAATGTTTTAGGGATCAACTTCTGAATGTACTTTATATTGTTTCACTTGTTTAAACATTTCATCCCATTCTTACTATTTAGAATTTTCAAATTAACAATAATCCCACCAATTCTTAATCATGCATATTGAATCTCCAATACGCTCTTAGTATCTTCAAGGGACAAAAGAATTTAAATTTAAAGCATCCAATGCACTGCGGCATTGGCATAAATTAGTGGCCAACAAAAAAAGGCCGCGCATGGCACCAAACCTAATTTTATGAGTAATGAATCACAATTCACTCACAAAACAAAAAAGAGACCAAGTGTGTAACAATTGGTCATATGCATTATACAATTTATATACAAACTTTAAAATTTCGTACAACTTGTCTCTCAAAGTTTGTGACTCCCACTTGTGGGTGTAATTCTTCGTGGATTTGAAGTGTCTGTTGCTTCTTAATATCTAAAATCACAGGGCATAGCATCCAATGCACACGAATTCTTCGTGGATTTGGGGTTCCTGCTGCTTGTTAATATTTAAAATCTCAACCCTTCATTTTAGTTAATGATCGGCCAATGAGTTAAAATGAAGGGCTATGATTTCGAGCATTAGAGAAAATAGCAGACAAGACAACAGACACTCCAAACCCGTCATCTTCCTCATTTGGGTCTGCTTAATTGCTCAGTTTGCCAACTGACGAAAGAAATGGAGATAGAGTTGGACCCCACATGAAACCCATTAAGCTCTCAAAAGGTTATCAATTCAATTTTAGCAGGCCCCAGGTAACCAAGCCCTCAAACAGCGACGCCATTAATGGCTGATCGGAGCAAGCCATCACCAGAACTCTCCGGCGGCCGTGGTGGCGGAGGAGGAGGAAAAAGCTGGCAAAAGTGCAGGACAGGTGTTCGACAAATTGGGCAATCGAAGTGAGAGAAGAGCCACATGTCTATGCAGTGTGCATGAAAGCTGTGCTTGCATCTCGGCAAGTTCCTCACCTCTTCTCCTTCTTCAAACCCACAAAGACAAACTGGGCACTCACTCTCTCCTTCTGCTGCTTCTTTCTTGTACTTGAAGCTTGATAGTAACAAGTTTCTGTTGAATATCAGACCATCATAACTCTGACTGATCGGTGCCACTGCTTCACTCACCCGATTTGAAGGCTGTGATGATGATGAGGATGACGACGACGATGATTGCACGTGGCGGCGGCGGCCGCCGCAACGTTTGATGATGATAAGGTTGTATACTGCTAATAATAAGGCTGCTGTTCCCACAATTACAAGCCCATAGTACAAGAGAGGCATGTTTTTGATTTCTGGTCTGATATGGAGGAGGAGGAGTAGGAAGACGACGCAATGATATGGTGGGAATTTAAGCCATGGCTCAGCAACTATTGGGATTTTATTTTATGGCAAAACTGGTTATAAGATTCAAATATTTAGGTATAAGTTCCAAATGTTGAATTAAAACTTGTAGGGCATCATGGTCTTAGAGGGACAATATGTTTTTTTAACAAAAATATCAAAATATCCCTCTCTTTTTTGCATTGATCTGCATAAGTTTATCTTCAGTGACCTGTACATTGGATATGAGGGTATAAAAGGAAAGGTTATTTTGGTATTTTCACTTAAAATATATATTATCTCTTCAAAAGTGTGGTCTCTTGCAAGCTTTATTTTCATATTAGGGCCTCATACCCAAATATTTAAGCCTTTCAATATTATGCCGATTTTCCCATCTTTTTAAACCGAACAAGTTGGGAAGTACTGTGTTGTGAATTAGCACATAGTTACTATATTCCAAATCAACTTATGTCTACAAGTTAGATGATAGAATGTATTAAAGTTTAAATTATTCATTGGGAGTTACCGAGTTAATCTAAGAGGCGTGGTGGCAGAGAATTGAGTGAATTTTAAAATGAATAGTTGAAAGAAAAGACAATGAAAGGTAGGGTGAGAGCGACTAGAAATGTAGATAAGCATTGGGATGGAGGTCTTTTAATTTAATTTATTGCAATATTATTTGTTTTCAAGTGCTTCTCTTTAATTTTGGCCACTCACTTCGGTACCCCTACATTAATTCTTTCCCATTTTGCTTTTGCTTTACCATTTGCAAACCACACATGTTTCTAAATTCATTAACTCACTTTCCCTGGTTTAGGTGCCAGTATTATCTTTTAATTCTATTTATAACCCATATTATTAATTTTTTATCATAATTTTTTCTTTGATTCTCCGTTTAATGTTAGTGAAAGAATATTTTTTATTAAAAGGAGTATATATAATAAGGATAAAGTTAAAAACTTATCAACTTTTTAAATAGAATTAATGAATTTTAAAATTTTCTTAATTCTCAAAACAAGTTGCAAGTTATCACTTGTACTTCCTCCATTTGAGAAAAATCTACATACCAATAAAGTTTCATTTCTATGAAAGTATATAATGTTTTTCATTTTTACTTCTAATCCTAATTATCAATACACTCTATAATGAGTGAGAGATATATTTATAAAAAATATTTAAGTTAATAAATACAAGGGGTAAAATAATTTTTTTTACATGTACTAAGTTGCCTATATTTTGAATTAATATTAGCAAAGGAGAAATATTTATATTTTGAAACAAAGAGAGTATATGATAAAGGACTCATCAAAATGATTGTTTCTTAGAAAAATCTTAAAAATTAATAAAAATTTAATAAGTTTGTAACTTTGGTTTTACTAGATATTTTTTTAATAATATACTCTCTTATTTTTATTATAAGGCATCTTTTAGAAGAAATTAGTGGTCCTTAATAAAAGTCACTCGATGGGGTATTAGTTGAGTTTTTTAAATGTTACCCTTATTTAAAATTATTAATTAAAAGAGATAATGTAATGCAAATTTTAAAATTTTCAATTTAAATACAGATGAAATTGAAAATTTATTTCCTACAAAATTAATAACTCAACCACTTCTCCTTAATTTTTATAAATAATTAGACTTACCTTGTAATAAAGATTGAAGGGAATACTTCTCTTATTAAAATTTTATGGGGATAAAAGATGAAACTTATGATAAACTGACAATGATATGTATATTATAAATAGAATTAGAAAATTTTTCCCTCTCTACTTTATAAATAAGATTAGAGTAGTACTATACAGTTCAAAAAAAATTAAAGGTTGATTCCCTTTTATCATTGTAGATTTCTATCCAAAGAAAATTTAAATAATAAAAACAACTCACTCTCTTTGGTATAAAATATATAAGCATCTTTTAACAATAATTTTCATGCCAATAAAATGTTTATTCTTATGAAAGTATATATTATTTTTTTACACTTAGTTTTAATTTATAATGAGTGAGAAAAATGTTACAAATTTACAGGCACAAAAATTTAGGTTAAAATAAATACTATAAGGAGTAAAATAAAATTTTTTTTAACAAATACTCCTTCCATCTCAAATTATAAGATACTTTTAGATAAAATCTTACATGCTAGTAAATCTCATTAAATACACCTAATAATATTATCTTTCCAAAACAAAAATATAAACTTTTAAAAATAATCACATTTAATATATTAAAAAGAGAAAGGATAGAAATTAATTATAAATAAAAAAATAATATTAAAATTAGTGCATTCAATAAAATTTTAATTTATTCAAAATATTTTATATTTTAAAATAGAATTTTTTTTAAATATTCTATAATTTAAAACAAACAAAGAGAGTACCAAATTATTTATATTTTGAGTGTGACTGTTTGACTAGTGAGGGCGGCTCAACATTCAACACTGATACTAATGCGCCCAACCAACCAAACAATTTTATAACAAGTTCTCCAAATTTAGGTATCTGAATTCAATGCCAATTTGTTAGTACTCTACCAAATTATGTCGCTGTAGGGTTTTGATGAAATATATCAATTATTTTTATATTATCTTATTACAATAACAGATTTCATAGCCTGTGCACAACACGTAATGTTAAACAAGACTTGTTTTAAAACAGAGGGAATAAAATCCGATGTTTAACCATTTTGTGATTAGCTTATGAGCTTAGTTTGACAAAAGTAAGTGATGGTTATTAAAATGTGTATTAATATCTGCAAACATAAAATATTGTTGATTTCCAATTATAAAAAGATATCCAAGGACGTCACAACAAAATCACGTGCAAGGAGAATAAAAATAAAAAAAATGATAATAAAATCTCTCTGACATATATATAAATGACATTTGATTTTTTAAAATATCATAATTCTTTCGAAACCTTAGAAATTTTTTTTATCATTAATAAATTTATATAAATTACTAAATTATATTTGTTGAAAATAAATAATTCACAAGTTTTGTTTAAATATTCACAACTTTTCTTCTTATATTTACATATTAAATTATTTATTTGTTATTACATTGTCGCGCTATAACAAGAAAATTTATGAATATTTAAATAAAATTTGTAAATTATTTATTTTCAACAAAGATAATTTGATAATTTATATAATTTATTAATGATAAAAAAATTTCTGAAAACTTTATGAAAATTATAATATTTTAAGAGATTAAATTATTATTTATATATTTTAAAAATATTTTATTATTATTTTTTAAATAAAAATACTATGAATTTGCAAGAAGTACGACAATTAATAAAAGGCCAAAGGAACAAGGTTGAAGAATATTACAGCATAAATATGTGTGTATTGGCTTGTCCTTTGCTTGTCCTTTGCCTAATTACGACCGAATAATGAAATGCTATGTCCCACTTGCACAACCCCACCCCTAAAAAGTGGATAATTGATGATACACCAAATCATTCATTACTTTATAATTTATAATTTAATGCTTTTAATTATATGTCACGTTGTTTTTTTTTATTTGATGCAAATGATATATATTTTTTTGATTTTATTTATAAATTATTTTAACATATTTTATCAGTATTAAAAAAATTTTAAAACTTATTAACCCTGTTTTAAAATTTAATAGGTTATTAACTTTGCCTCCTAGTAAATATCCACACTTCAATAATATATTCTCTCTTTCCAATATTAATGAAAGGTAAAAAAAATTATGATAAAAATTTAATAATGTGACTTATAAATGGGATCAAAATTTTTTTTTTCTCCACCCTAAAAATAGGATCAGGGGGAGTAATCCACTAATGGCAAAATTGTCCCCACATATTAAGTTCATGAATAGAACTATATGAACTAAATTTTTTACATGTACAAGAGTTGATATTTTAATCCCAATTCTCAACCACTTATTTAAACGATAATGAGACTTCTACCACTATATCAACTTGATTCGTTAAAAAAATTAAACAACAAATGGAATACATAAAGCTCAAAATCATTTAAAACTATAAATGTTTTTAGTATAAATCCATAAAAAAGTAAAAATAAAATAAAATAAATGGTTCCACAAAAAATATAAGAATTAAACCGTTTGAAATAAAAATTTCAATAAAAAATATCACCCAAAATAATTAAATTGTTCTACAATCTCAATTCTCTCTTACTACCGTGTTACAAATTTTAACAATTTCATCATCAATTTCACTCCTCTCAATATCTTAAATCTAAAGTCTTAGATCCAACAATATTTCATATTTCCTTTAACAAACTTCACACCCCAACAAGGGTGATTGTCATCTTTATCTCCCTCTTTTTTCCTCTTACCTTGATCTTTTTTTTTTTCCTCTTCCAATTAGTGGGTTTAAAATTAACATATCAGTATTAAAACTTAGTTCATATTTACATTAAGAATCACAAAATTGAGGGGGCAACTGTTTACCCTCAAGTACATGCAGGATTGCTCCTGGTCTAAAGGACTATTTTTTTTTTGGTCATGCTGGTCCAAAGGACTTCATATAAATAAAAATAATGTTAAATATTTTCCAACTAGATTGCTTTATAGTATTACATAAAAATTGATTTCAATCATGTGTTATTAAAGCCTTCACTACTGGTATCAATTAGAATTAACTGGTATCAATTAGAATTAACATACTAATCATTGGAACATGTCGTGTGGATATATTTATATGTTACTAATATTAATATGGAATATGTTACTGGTGCTCAGATCTCCAGGTAATATATAATTGTGGAGGTGGATGGCGATGATGAATTTCATCTTTACTTAATTAAATGTTATTATCTTGGAGAAAATTTTGTTACGTGGTGGATCAGAACGTTGCAGCTCAGGAATGTTGGGTGAGGAAGCTGCTGAATTAGATGAGGACAAATTGTAATGACTTCTACATTTTCTTAATAAAATGACTCCACCAAGTTCGACATTTAGATTCTCCAGATAAAACCCAGCTTGGGTTTTTCTGTGCATGTTTCATTCTTCTCGAAGTTTCAATCTTCTCCGAGGAAAACATTTTCTTGCATTCCTAAGCTCTCTCTGAGGAAACAAACAGGGCTTTTCTCCTGTTCAAGTTTAGTTAAACAGAGACGCTTCCTTCCCAATTTGCTTTGTGATTCTGGGCATGCCTCATTCTTCTCAACTTTTTCCAGTGAAAGATTCACATTTAGAAATTTAATGGAAACTATAAAGGAAGTGTTAGACAAGAAGATTTCAGAAAACGAAGTGGTTCTGCAAATCCAAGAAAGGGAAGAAGCTTTGTGCGTGAAGAAAGAATCTCAGATGGATTCTCCGCCGGAGATAAGAAATGTAAGCCCAAAACCCAGTAAGCCTCCAAAAGTTCCGACAGAGACAACAATCAAACGAAGATCACTGTCAAGGTCGGAATTCCAGAAGCCAAAATCCAGAAAATCCAGATTGTCAGAGCCGTCGTATCAGACAGACCCAAAATTTCTCGAAGCAAAAACTCAAACGACAGGTTATGATTCATCATCAAGTAGGAATTCTCCTAATGTGGCTTCACCTATGAACAAAATTGCAGCAACAACTACTCCAAGAAGAAATATAAGTACAGCTCCAGTAACCCCACGAACGCCATTGATTGGAATAGAATCAGAAGACGAAGAAGACGAAGATGAAGACGTGTACAGAACTGCTGATCTTGAAGTGAGCAAGAGATCAGGTAAGAAGAAGTTGAAACTAATGGCTTTGATTGAATGGAGTGCTTTTGTTTGCATTATGGCTGCTTTCATATCGAGCTTGACCATCCATAAGCTGAACCATACTGTGATTTGGAGTCTGAATCTCTGGAAATGGTGCGTTTTAGTGTTAGTGATTCTCTGTGGCAGGATTATCACAGAGTGGTTCATCAACATTCTGGTTTTCTTGTTTGAGAGGAACTTCATATTCAAAAAGAAGGTTCTTTATTTTGTTTACGGGTTAAAGAAGAGTGTTCAGGCCTTTATTTGGTTAGCTTTGGTTCTTCTGACATGGTTTCTTCTGTTCAATCATGGAGTTAAAAGAACCAGAACAGCCAGAAAAGTTCTGAATTACATAACAAGAGCACTTGCTTCTTGCCTCATAGGATCAGCAATATGGCTGATAAAAACTCTTACTGATAAAGCTGCTAGCTTCTTCTTTCCAATGCACCAGATTCTTTGACAGGATTCAAGAATCAATCATTCACCAATACATTCTTCGGATTCTCTCTAGGCCTCCATCGATGGAAATGGCTGAAATGGTGGGAAAAAGTGCGAGTACTGGTCAGCTGAGTTTTAGGACATTGAACAAAGAGAAGAAAGGAGAGAAACAAGAGGTCATTGATGTGGACAAGTTGAAGAAGATGAAGCAAGAAAAGGTTTCTTCTTGGACCATGAGAGGGCTAGTTAATGTGATAAAAAGTTCTGGGTTGTCCACCATACCTGATACACTTGAAAGCTTTAACGAAGAGGAAGGAGAGCAGAAAGATATGAAAATTAACAGTGAATGGGAAGCAAAAGCAGCAGCTTATAGAATTTTCAACAATGTAGCCAAGCCTGGAAACGAGTTAGTTCATATGTTCCTACTTTGATAAAAAATAATCTCTCTGATGTTTTCTTATATGCGATTTTATTCTCACTCTGGTTTAACTCTGACATTGACAAAGGTATATAGAAGAAGAAGATCTCTGGAGAGTTATGAAGAAAGAGGAAGCGAAGAATTTGCTTACTTTGCTTGAAGGAGCCGTGGCTGGTAAATCACTATCTTTCTGCCAAAAAAAAAAAAAAAGTAAATTACATCAATACATAGGCTTCTGTTTACTTGTGTTTGTTGTTGTCAGGTAAGAGTTTACTTGGAACGCAAGTCACTGGTGCATTCCTTAAACGACACAAAAACTGCTGTTGATGAGCTGAACAAGCTAGCCTCAGTGCTTGTGCTCGCAATAATCATCATAGTTTGGCTTCTTTTAATGGGTCTCTTAACAACAAAGATCCTTCTCTTCATTTCATCTCAGCTTTTGCTGTGTGTGTTCATGTTTGGAAACACAGCCAAGACTCTGTTTGAAGCCATCATATTCGTCTTCGTAATGCACCCTTTCGATGTTGGTGATCGCTGTGTTATCGATGGAGTCCAGGTAATAACAAACATACATACGTGTGTGTAAGAAAGCTGATCTTGGCTGACACCTGACAAATATGTTTGTGTGGTAGATGATAGTGGAAGAGATGAATATATTGACGACAGTGTTCTTGAGATATGACAATGAGAAGATATTCTATCCGAATTCAGTTCTAGCCACCAAACCAATCAGCAACTTTTACAGAAGCCCAGATATGAGTGATTCAGTTGAATTTGCTGTTGATGTTTCCACTTCCATGGAGACCATTGGTGCTCTAAAAGCTAGAATCAAAGCGTATGTGTCTTCCACCCTTTCTCTGCATGATCCTCAGCATTACCTCAAATTCTAAATCATCATTTTAATCTTAAAAGGTGCTTCTTCTGTCAAACTTGCTCGAGACACTGGTTCACAAGTTAATGATTAAAATCATAGTCAAATCATGATTCAATCAATCTTCAGTAAAGCATTTCATTGAACCAGTGAAGGAATTGATTCAACGATTCACTGGTTTATTAACTGACCAGGTTAACCTGAATTTAAATGCTATATTTAAGATAGATTTCACATTAAAAGAGTAAAAAGTTGGTGTGAAATTTTGTTAGGTATTTGGAGAGCAAGCCTCAGCACTGGCGAGCTGGGCACAGTGTGGTGGTGAAGGATATAGAGAACGTGAACAAGATGAATATGGGCTTGTAAGCGACTCACACCATTAATTTCCGGAACTATGGAGAGATGAGCAGCCGGAGATCAGAACTAGTGTTGGAATTGAAGAAAATTTTCCAAGATCTTCATATTAAATACCATCTTCTTCCTCTAGATGTTCATCTCAGTTATGTGGGGCCAGAAGCACCCTCTACAGTTCGGAGATGATCTTTGTTCCATCATCATCATTATTATATACTATCCATTCAGTTTTGTAAACGTGTGGGTTTTTAGGGGTTTTTTAAGAAGTCACAAGTTAATCCTTCAATGTTGATCATCGAAGAAATGAGGATAAATATTAAATATCATCAACTTTCCTCTTTCTTTTTTTTTTCAATTAAACTGATCAAATGAGGATATTTTGTAAATCAAATTTGAAATCTTTTTTTGCCGAAAATTGATCTTTATATTTTTTTAATGATTAATATAATAAATTATCTACTATTAATAATAAATCAATAAATCTATAAATATTATCCTATCAAACTAAATTCTGAACGCCGCAACCACAAATAGTTGATTGACCGATACACCCACATGTTCAGGTGAAAAGCACACTCCCTAAATGATGTGTCGAGATTATGTGCTCTCAGATGAAGCATGAAGTTACAGGTAGTACGGTTTACAAAAATATCTCATACATCTTGAGGTGTAAATTTAGTTTCACTATTTTTTTTTCCCCATACGCATCACGTATTTGAAGTCCTTCAAACCTCGCTTGATTAGGTCGGACCACAAGAATGACAAACTATCTCTATGAGTATTAAAGATAGCTATATAGTTAAGATTAATTTGAATGGAGTGAAAAGTGAAAAGAAAACATGGAAGAGAAATATTAGAAAGAGAAATTTGTAATCTATTATTTTTAAGAGTTTTAGAGCTCCAATTTGAAATTCCTGGCCCAAACTAGCTGAGGGGCACGCTTGTTTGTTGGTAGTTTAATTGTATTTTGGAGATATGATCAATTGCTCGACCAAGTTTAGATAACTTGAAAATCCTTTTTTTTTTTTATATATTTCATTTGGGATCGAAAAGATTGGGGCCCAAACGGGACGATGCCAATATGAGTACATGACCCAAGCAAAAATAAAAAAATAAAAAAAGAAAAAGTTGAAGGAAGAAGAACTGAAGAATGACGGGGCTCATCAGATAAGATAACCTTATCTCTCTCGATTTGGATTTTCGATTGGAGAAGGCGCCACGTAGGACGAATCAAAGATGCCAAAAATTTCCACCACACATTGCCACCATGCTTCCTCCACCTCCTCTTCAAAACAAACACACCTCAACTCCATTTCCCTTTCCTCTTCAACACAAATTTCACTCACCCTCCAAGCACTCGTTGCCGCACCAACCACAAGTCACACAGTGGTAACTCACCAATGGCTTCAACTTCTGTAGTTTCCATGGCCGTCCCAGCAGCTTGCGCAGCCCAGAAGAAGGCGGCGCCTCCCTCCTCCACATTCTTCCGGCCACTGCCTTTGCTACCTTCAAACAAGGTCTCTGCCTCCAGTCCCAATTCCAGGTTTGTAGTGAGGAACTCCCTTAAGGAGAAGGCCGTCACTGGTCTCACGGCCGCCGCTTTGACGGCTTCCATGATGGTCCCCGATGTGGCTGAAGCCGCCGTCACGCCGTCTCTCAAGAACTTCTTGCTGAGCATCGCCGCCGGTGGAGTCGTCCTTGCTGCCATTGTTGGCGCCGTCATCGGTGTTGCCAATTTCGATCCCGTCAGGCGAAGCTGAGGGGAAGATGCATTATACATCTCCATCCACCTTTTAGACTTTTGTCTTGTTATATGTATGTCCAATGTGCATTGTTATTCAGTAATGAACTCTGTTGTCTGTAATATGTCACCCATCATCTTCTACTGAGCTGAAACTTTTTCCAATTCTTCAATACCATGCTTGCGGCTGCCTATGAAAGGAAATAAACATGCAGACACAACGTATATATATATATATATATTACCTTTATTTTGCTGTGAATATGTTCTGCAGCGTAGCAGAATAGTACTGATGGATCAACCCGTAGGCAATAACTGATTTCTCCATGAAGCGCACAGCCTATCAGACTACATAACATATTTGTACTAAATACGATGACATCTTACACAAACTGGAAACATAGGAAACATGCTATTGAATTAATGGAATGTACATCTAGGTTTTACAAAGTGGGCATATAAATGATACGGTAAAAGCAATGACTCATCTTAACCTAAGGAAACTTCGAAATCCAACACGATTACTGCTTACAAAATTTTGAAATCAAATCTAACATGTATCTACTCTCTGAAGAATAATCCACCTTATCTGCCTTAACCACGGTAATCTTAACCCTCTGTTCATCACCATACAATTCCTCCTTCACTTTCAGCCGAAACACAAACTGGTTGTAGAGTTTACTACGGATTATGCGTTCAAACTTCTCATCATCCTGCTCTTCATACTTCAATAAGTACAGCTCCTTCGCTGAGCAACCCAAGATTTCCTCGCCTGATTCTTGGAATGCTGTGACCCAAGTTATTCCCGTATGATCCATAATTTGGGCTTGAAGAAGGTAGCGGTAATCACACTCCTCAAACTCTTGATTGCATCTATCGCATTTCCACCTAGTGGCTCCGGACCTAGTCACTTTTTTGCTGCACTGTCGGTCTCCAATCATCAGTGGGCAAGCCGTGTAACAGAATGTATCTGCCTTGATGTAAGAGATGGTTGCCCTCACCGTTATCCAGTCTGGCTTATCTGATCGGCCAAGGCCTTCATCCTTGATCTGAGACACAGTTTTACGTATCTCGTTCTTAAGTCCTCCAGGTGAAATGTCCTTAGAAATGGACAAAGAAGCTGAATCTTTCCCCCCTTGGTCAAACCAGTCTCTTAATCTATGAGCCTCAGGAAAATCTGGATTAATGAACAGTTGGGTGGAAGAAATTGTTCCTATAGATTTTCCACTAAAGTCATTAACCCTCCCAGATTTGACTGCCAGAACCGGGAAAAAACCACCATCAACCATCTCTTGGAGCTTTTGACCTTCCCTATTGCAGAAATCACCCCAAAGGGTTAGCTCAACACTCCTGCCAGACATGTCTTTTACATTCAGAATTCGTCTCTGAGTTTCCATTCCATTCTTCCTCAAGATGGGAACCGAGGGATTTACTGATGTCACAACCGCAATAACATCAAGTATGCAGTTACTGTCAACATTCTGAATGTCACTGATAGGCCTAAAGGAGAACTGTTGTCTGGGTATTGAAGCATCTTCATCTGGGCAAAGCTCCACAGTTGAAATAGAGTCTAGAAAAATTTCCCAGTCATTCTTCAAATGATTGAAGTTCTTCTGCGCAGGTTTTAAGCTACCTTTGGATATCAAGTAAACTTTACCAACCTCAATTGCATCATAAAATCGATCAACAATAGCATTGAAGCAAGTTACTCGTATTTCACCTCCATCAGAGTCAAGGAGATCAAAAGAGAAAACTTTTCCATCTCCTCGAGCATTATTATAGCGGCGGAGATCCCCTTTTGCAGTTACTCTTGCCTTGATAGCCCACCGACCTTGATAAGGATTTAAAGCAGCAATAGGAATTATTCGTGCAGGTGCTTCATTCTTCATAATTGCACCTTGATTTTTGTAAACTGGTGGTGGTTGGAATGGAGGTTGAACAGTTGGCCTGAAATTCTGCCCATCATGACTAGAATTTTGAGCAGACAGACTATTGTTATTAAACCTGGATGGGTTCTGCATATTGTTACTAGACAATGCTTTATGAGCTATTGAATCAGATTCCACAAATGAGTTTAAATTCCCGATAATCTCACAATCTGGAATTATAGTTTCCATGTTGAGCACTACAATGATCCTGCACAAAGATAAGAGCGTCATATGACTTGAATCTACTCCAGAGCTAGCACTATGACGCCAAACAGATACAAGTATGATTACTATATATAGAAATTATAAGCTAGAGTAGAATAGGTAAGTTTCATTAAGCAATCAGTACTGAACACTACAGCATTAATGCAAATCTTGAACATTCTATGTGTAGGGTAAGCAAATCTGCTACAAAGTTGTATAGCTTCAAGCCTCCCATACATGAACTGAGGTTACTGCCAATCTGATGTTTTCTCTTTCCTCCCAATAAAAGAAGCGAAAAAAACATGTAAAATAAAGCGCGCTGACAAGGAAAGCTCAGATACGATGTATAAATCAATGTGTAAGTTGTCACACTGAACTATAATTGTCCATGTCCAGGAAGTAAAAGTGCAGAAGATTTCTTCCCTGGAAAATGTATCTTCACCAACAAGATAGGACTCTCGTACGCTTTTTCCTCTTTGTATAAACAAAATGAAGTCAACTTTTGCTTCCAGAAGGAAGATTCAATATCAATATGCTATACACCAAACGGCCGGTGCCAATTCTCAAAACGACGAGCAATCTTATTAATTACACTTAAACCAAACCCTTAACGTTTCTAAGTTTCAAACAACAAACAAATAATGTTTCCACACGGATTATGACATATAGATAAGCTTCTAGTTTCATCGTAATCGCTTTGAAAAATGAACTTCATCTCACATTAATCATAATGGCAAAAATAAGCCAAAATTTAGATATAGGAACGAAATACTGACTTGCGGTTCTGAATTTGACTGCAAACATAGTCAATCAGCTGAACAACGGAACCTTTCTTAACTCGTCCGGTTCTAACTCGGTCGTTGAGCTGAGTCGCGAGCATAGCGTGCTGAGTGGAAGCGGAATCGGAAATCAGAAGCCGGTACCTCTCCTGCTGCGTATTATTAGAAATCAACTTGATGTCCAGGACCTGGACAAGCGGCTTCGAGTTCACGTCGCCGGCGACAATCGCCGCGATCGCGTTGGGCGTTAGATTCACCGGCATACTCCGACACCCCAAGCACTGGAACGAAAGTCCCGCTGACTACGTCGTGGATGAGGAATTTCCGCACAGGCGATGGTTCGAATTTGGCCCGAAATGAAAATCTGAAAAATGCGCGAGCATATATATATATAAAGGAAGAACAGAAGCAAAGAAACAGAGATTTCGAAGGCAGATAGAGTACCGAGTACGTGTTTAGGGCAGGCTTCCCGTAATGGGCAAAATATGACCTTTTTAATTACAACTATACCCTCGTATACTTGTCACAGTCATCCAATCCCAATGAACATCGTTCCCCATCTTTTTTTTTTTTATCTTTTTTGGAATGGCATTAAAGGCTTTAAAAACAGAGTTTATTTGACTTAGGGCTTAAATGAATCTGAAATTGCTCTACAGGCCCTAAGACTTGAAGTGCAATTTTTTTCAAAGCGAAAATACTTTTTTGCTCCTTGTCTGATTTGAATCAAAAAATATGCGTGAACCCTTGTCCTCATTGCTCCCTATTTTCCTATTTTCCTTTGTTCTCTTTACTCTGGAAAAGGAAAAAACTAACGGTAATTCTCTATTCTCATTTCCTTTATGTTCTCATTTCACCGCCCTTTAAAAAGCTTCTGATTTCCTTGTTTATTGCTTGTTTGTGGTTGCTCGAGTAGTGCTCGTCATTTCGCATGTCGTCGTGCTCTCTTCATTGTTGCTCGCGGTCGACCTGATTCATTCATCGGCAGTGCCGTTCATCACTAATGCTTCTACAACTTCACCCTAAGATTCTGTCGGAGTCTTGGTTTGGTCATCTGAAGCTCTCATTGTGACACCGTCAAATCCAGTCTCTCACTGTCGCTGTGCATCTGAACCCTCTGGTGTCTGTGACTTTGGTAATTTCTTCTATTGTTTGTCTGAAACTTGTAATTTTTTTGCTCTGCATATGGTAGTTTGATAGTTTTCACTTTGCCTTTTCATGTTTTGTTCCGTTAGCAGATTGCCTTCCCTCCGTCTAAAGTAAATAATGTGTCTGGCTAAATGAAATAACTCCTCCATGTAACAGTTTTAAAGATTGCTTCATTCCCATAATTATCTGTATGAAATGCTGCAAGAGAATGGTATTGGCTCTAATCCTTTTTATGTTGAAAAATTTGATGCATCACTAGTAAAAGAAAGTGGATAGAATAAGTGGCTAGGGGAGGGATACGGGTTCGAGTTGTCCTTTTTTGTTTGATAGGGGGCTTTAAATTTGGAAGGAACAAAAGAATGTGTGAATTATGTACGAAGCGTATGTGAAATAGGTACTATATTATTTTAAAACTGTAGGATCATTTGATGGAAGAATTAGAGTATCTACATGCCTATACAAGCTTGTTCTAATAGTTCCTATCATAGATATCACAAAGTGCCACACATTTCAATATAGTTTAAGCACCATATATGATTGCCCATAGAATGTACGTAAGAGTACAAGACAAAATATATTGAGAAAATACATACACCAAAGCTCCTCTCGCACTGCTTAATCTTGTAACGCTTGCCTTTCCAAATGAGTTATTTATATCATTCATTGCTGCTTCCAATGCTTTTTGCTAAAAGACAAATTTTATTGTCAAAATTTACATACCTTTGTATAGGCTTAACCACTCAAGAATGCAACAAAACTTTTATATCTCTGTATATTGTAATGTATTTGTAATAACCCCCTATTTACACGATAGTTATCATACAAGCATAGAAAATTCAACCATTCCCTCTATGGTAGAACAAAATAAGCTCGACTTCTCATTTAGGGTATCTAGGAACAAAAATCCATAAGTTATTTAAACATTGTCACCTTTACAAATTACAAATAGAAGTGAAACAACCCTTCACCTAAGCGCAATGTTACAAGTGATAAAATGAGCAATGAATGAGGACTGAATCTGTCTTTATATTTTTAGTTGTGCATCTATGGACATGGTCTTGTGCATAGTAGGTGTTCTATCGTGCATGGTCTGCGTAGCCATTTCAACTAATATGATAACCGAATTACTCAACATTCATGGATTTTTAGTTGTGCATGCATGAACATGGTCTTGTGCATAATGGGCTTTTTGTTGTACATGGTCTGCATAACCTATCATTTTCTCCAGGGTAGTGAATTACTGAAAAATTATGGATTTTTAGTTGTGCATGCATGGATATGGTCTTGTGCATAGTAGGTCTTTTGCCGTGCATGGTCTGCATAACCTGTCATTTTCTCCAAGCTAGTGAATTTCTGGAAAATTATGGATTTTTAGTTGTGCATCCATGGACATGGTCTTATACATAGTGGGTGTTCTGTCGTGCATGGTTTACATAGTCATTTCAGCCAATATGGTAACCGAATTACTCAACATTCATGGATTTGTAGTTATGCATGAATGAGGACTGAATCTGTCTTTATATTTTTCTTGTTTTGTTTTGGTTCTGAAATTATGTCACTATTAGTAAATCCACTTTTCTTGATTTGTTTTGCTATCCTTGATTATTTTCTCTTCTGCTAATCATGGTTAATTTATGTAGGTACTAAGCATAAAATGGCTTCCAACAAACCATAAAAGGCGATATCAACTATGGGATGGCGTGATTTTAGAAGAGAATTTTTGGAGATCAATAAAGGCAAGTACAAAAAGGTTGGTGATTCAAATGAGGCTACAGCTGAGATATGGAAAGAAATGAGCATAGAGGAGAGGGAGCCGTATAGAATGAAGGCGATTTAAAATAGAGAGGTGAAAACACAAAAAAAATATGACATTCCTTTCCACACTCGATGCTCTCCAGTAAAATTTAAAGAAATTACTGAGTTTGTAAAAGAAAATGGCCATTTAAAAGAGAAGTTGAGGCAATTGGGTTTTCTAAGTTGTTGGATATCGAAGGCTTAAAAATTCCAAGAGAGTTGTGCCATGAGATCATGCGATCTTATGATCCCCCAACTTAGAAAATGACAATAAGGGGGAAAACGATATTAGTGAGAGCAAGGGATCTACAGGCTATTATGGGGCTACCTAATGCTACAAGGGTAGTAGAGTTGAATGTTAACAAGGAGGTGGTAGCAGAATTGAAGAGTGATTATACATCAATGTCATTAAATGACTTGAAGAACAAGATCACTTTAAATGATGAGAATGACAAGTTTGAGTTCTATTTTTTATTGTTGACACTTGCAACTCTTTTGTGTCCTGATGGAAGTCCCTGAGTTACTGATAAGGCATTGAAGGTGTTGGCATGTATGAATGATGCATGGTTTGATTTTGATTGGGCTACTTTTGTGTTGGAGGAGTTGAATCAGGAGATTCAGCTCTACAAGAAGCATGTCAAGAAGGGAAAGTCAGAGAGAATCAAATATATTGGAGGATGCCTCTACTTCTTATTAGTAAGCTAAGTTATTTTTGCTATTCTCATAAACCTTAGTTGTTACAGCTATCCTTACATTAAATTGATATTTCAGATTTTCTACCTTCAAAATTTTCCTCTGAACAAAGCTGTACCCCCAACTAGTGAAGTAATAGGGTATTGGATTGAAGAAAGGGTTAATGAAATGGTGAAGGTTGAGTAGCAGAGCTGCCATGGCCTGTTGTACACTAAAGCACCAGCCCACTGTGATGCCAACTTAGTGCCTCAACGCAATTACCTCCAATTACTGCCTTTCATGACAAGGTATGTATACTTTTAACCCAATAGTATTTTTAGATCCCTTAGTTATAAGTAAGTGAACCCTAAGTTTAGAACAAGTGAACCTTTTGATGTGCAGGACACGAAAGATGTGTACGTAAAAGTGAAGGCTTACATGGAGAAGGTCTGTTTTGCCAATGTTAATTTATGAACATTTCATTGTAAAACAAGAACATATTATTGTGAATAAGTGCACATTTCATGTTTTGTAGGAAATGAAGGAAGTACAAGAGAGAGTCATGTCTTACATGGCTAATGAGTTGCTAGAGTTGCCATCAAAGAGGGTTGTCATAAAAGAAAAAGAGGAAGAGGATGAAGATGAGGTAGGTAAGAATGACAAGGACGACGATGAAGAGGGAGAACATGATAAGGATGAGGATGATCCAGACATAGAGACAGAAGAACAAGTAGAAGTGGAGGATCTAAAAAACACGAAAGTTGAAAAACAAGAAGGTGGGGAGGATAAAGAGAAAGATAGAGATCAAGTAGTAAAAGAAGCAGAGAAATCAAACATGGATGCATCTAAACACAAAGTGGCTGCCGAAGAGAAAGGGAAACTTCCAATAAGGAGATCTAAGAGGAAGGAGAAGGCTATTGTTAAATCTCCGTGGATGCCACTTGTTACCCAGAAGAAGAGAAAAGTTAGTGACAAGCAACGGCTATATGGATTGTGTATAGATTGGTGTACAACAGAGGATGGTAGAGAGTAAGTGAAAAATTACTGCCATAAGAAATTGAAAAAAAATGTTCCTTACTACAAAGCATCATAACTATTTGTTTTGGTTGGATGCTGCAGGATATTTGTCTAAATGTACGACTACTATCTTACACTGAGTGAGCTACGTTCTCTTGGACCAGCACAATGGATAAGCAATCGGGTAAAAAAATTTCAAACCTGTATTTAACAATGGAAGTCCATATATGTACAACTGCATGTTCGTAAATGAATAACTAAATGTCTATATATGTCCATGTAGGTAATTACTATGGTTAGCAAGACTCTTGTAGGTGATTAGAAGGAGCAGTCATCTCATGTCACGCGTCATATTTTTATGCTGAATTCATGGCTAGGATGACAAAGAATCCATCACGGTGGAATATAGATGAGAATGCAAAGCATATTATCCCCGAGCATTTAGGATATAACTTAGGCGACTGTGATTTCATATTTGGGCCTACGGTTGTTGGAAACCATTGGTTTTGCTTTGTCTTGGAGCTAAGGACAATGAAATTTTATATTATTAATTCTATGGTTGATCATGAGCAATTAAAGGCTGAGGAGGAAGATATGAGAAAAGTAGGAAGAAAAGGGAAAGGGAAGTTGGTAAAAAATGCCTGAATGATCTAGTGTACAAGGGCCAAATAATGATGGGTACAAATATTATATGCTTTAAATTATGAACACTTGCTTTTGAATTTGTCACCCTTTTAGTGTTTGTTGGTTGACCATTTACCTTTACAGAAGGAGCATTTCAGATTAATTTTGGTCAAGGTGAAGCCAGAATTATCTCAGGTTGAGTACAATAATGACATACTCTATCCACAGGTCTTCAAGCAAGAGAACAAGTAAGTTATGCTGGTATAACGTTATAATCTTTTTCACGATTGCCTTCATTCATATCTCACTCTAATGCCTTCATTGTGCAGTGATGATTGTGAAATTTATCTTATTATGTGGCTTAAATTCTGGAACAATATTGTCAATGTTGATCATCCTCCATTTACCATGCCTAAATACACAACACAAGAACTATCGGCCATAAGTTGTGACATTTTATGTTGGCTAGTGAAGCATCCTAATAATGTCATCTGTGAACGTCAACTTTCACTTGTAGAAATAGGCACATAAAAAGAGAAATGTAGGATTGTAGAATTGTAGAATTAGGTTCTTTGACAAGGATTGTTTACATATTCGAAGATTTTTTTTGTAATTTAGAAATAGTTTTTGTTTGTAATTAGAATTATATATATATTTGCACGAAAAGAAAATGAAAGCTACAGTCTTAACCTTTCTATTATGTACAGGACAACACCCCCTATGCACAAGACGATGTCCATGCATGCATAACTAAAAATCCATGAGTTATGAGTAATTCAGTTACCTTATTTGGCTAAATGGCTATGCAAACCATGCATGACAAAACATCCCCTATGCACAAGACAATGTCCATACATGCACAACTAAAAATCGATGAATGTTAATTAATTTGGTTACCATATTGGCTGAAATGGCTATGCATGCCATGCACGACAGAACACCCACTATGCACAAGATCATGTCTATGGATGCACAACTAAAAATTTATGATTTTCCTGTAATTCACTACCAGCCAAGAGAAAATGACAGGTTATGCAGACCATGCACGGTAGAAGACTCACTATGCATAAGACCATGTCCATGCATGCACAACTAAAAATATATTATTTTTTAGTAATTCACTACCCTGGAGAAAATGACAGGTTATGCAGACCATGCACGGCAGAACACCCACTATGTATAAGACCATGTCCATGCATGCACAACTAAAAATCTATAATTTTTTAGTAATTCACTACCCTGGAGAAAATGATAGGTTATGCAGACCATGCACGGCAGAACACCCACTATGCACAAACTCATGTTTATGCATGCACAACCAAAAATCCATGATTTTTTAGTAATTCACTACGCTGGAGAAAATGATAGGTTATGCAGACCATGCACAGTAGAACACCCACTATGCACAACACCATGTCCATACATGCACAACTAAAAATCTATGAATTTCCAGTAATTCACTACCCTGGAGACAGGTTATGCAGAACCATGCACGGCAGAACACCCACTATGAACTATACGATGGCCATGTATGCACAATGAAAAGTCCATGCATTTTGAGAAATTCTGTTGCTGAAATGACTACATAGACCATACATGAAAGACAACCCAGTATACACAAGATGTTGTCCGTGGATGGATAATGAAAAGTCCATACACTTTTAATATTAATAATGACAATTACATCATATAAGAATTTCATGTTAGTACTAGTTACATGAAATTTGACATCATATTTCAAGTTTGACATGCATAAAAAGTTACCCACTATATGCAAAACATCTAACAATTGCTTCTCTATATACAGACAAAAAATATATGTCATTCCCAGTTACCCAAAAAAATATTAATTGGGAATGCTTCCATATACATAATTATAGCTACCTAAGCACACTAAAGAAGTATAATGTAACTACTTGTCATGATAGGTTAGGATTCTTGTATGTCTTACGACTGTGTTCGGCCTCCCCACATCTTGAACAATGATAAATCTTTTTATCTTGGAATTGAGACTCTATCCTCCTTGTTCTTGGCCTCCCAAGAAGACGGCTGGTTAAAGGTGGCTGTAAGAAAGTTTGTGATAAGTTATTAGTTAATGTTGCTGTATCAGGCTTTGGAATATCAAAAGTCTCAATTGGAATCATATTACTGCCATAGATTTTTTCTTGACAACTTAAATGGTACCATTCCTCAACATATTGATATATATTGCCATGTGAAAACTTTATGGCAACACATGCATGAGGACATGGTAGTTCAGACATCTGCCATGCCAGGCAAGAGCATTCACGTAATTCAAGATTTACTTGCACATTTCCATTTAATTTTTTCACCCTAACAGTGTTCAGTGCATAAAAATCAGCTTGCAATGTATCACCTCTTAACATATTTTCCTTTAGCTTGGTCTCCACATTTGGTCTAACACTATTTGTCCATTTTTCCAGTGCCATTTTACTATTATGTAACTTCTTCACTAATTTCTCCCTATGCTTATACATAAAAACAGTAATTTTATATTTTCTTTCCTTGACAACCCAAGAATTAAAGGACTCAGCAATGTTGTTCGTTATGTTATCCCACCTCTTATGGGGAAACTTGCTAAGTGCCCATCTATCTATGTTACTGTGTGTTTCAAGCCATTGCAATAAATCCGGGTAAAAGTTCATCATATTTGACATTGCAACATTAAACTCACTAGGGAGTCTTACATAAGCTATTGCATCTAGGAGCTTGAATGCTGCATCCTTTGTCACTCCATTCTTTCTCTTACCTCTTATGACTTTTAAAAACTCTGACCTAAAGTTTTCTTTCAAATGACAGTAACAGAAAGCATGCCTGTCACAATCATATATTACTTGTACATCCCTAATGATTGAATTATGTTTGTTAGACACTAGTGCTATCTCTTGCGATTCTGTTATGTTCTTAATATTTTGAAGAAACCATGACCACTCCTCAACTGTCTCACTACCTACTATGGCATATGCCACAGAAAATATCTCATTATCTGCATCATATGCACATGCTAACAGTAGAGTTCCCTTATATGGTCCACTCAAGAAAGACCCATCTATATATAGTATGGGTCGAGCACCTTCCATGAAACCTTTTATGCTATGTCCATATGCAATGAACAAATATTGAAATCTATTGCACAGCCCAACTATCCATTTTGCAACTGTGGTCGGATCACTTTCAATTAGCCTTTGACACATCCAAGGAATTAACATATATGATTCATCCAGTTGACCATGTATTTCAGCCAAAGCTTTCTCCTTACCTTTATATGCTTGATAATATCAAAGTTTCAAACTATACTCCCTATAGATGTCTCGTTTAATATCATTAGGAGACTTGCCTATAGAAGCCCTCAGCTCATCAATTATTATGGATGACGTTAGTGTTGATCTGCTTTTATGGGCAATATCAAGATTGTCTTGTGCAAAATGAAGATGTTGATCCTTAAAAGTTCTTATACTTAAGAAACTATTATCTTTTTCATCTAACTTGTATGCTCTAATATACCATGGACATCTCTTAACTGCACACTTCACAATAACTTGACTTGGTTTGTTCTTCAGAAACTTGTATCTGAACTTGTGCGCTAGGCTATACTTGTATAATGCCTTCCTAAACACCACATCATGAGCAAAAGTTTATCATACTCTAATAAGCAAATCCTTCCACTTACTAGCATTCATCTCTGGAATAGGGGTAGAAATGCATTGGATAGCTAAATTATCTTCTCTACTTTCTGTTGGAATGCCTCTTCTAGAGTTACATAAGCTAAAGCCTTTTAAATCAATATCCTAATGCTGAGGAGATAGCGAACTTCCATATAAAACTGGTAAAAACCAGTCTATCCTGCATTTACAAAAGTTACTACATTATTAGTGCTTTATATTAATAACTTATATTTTAAACGACTAACTATTCAATATAAACAAGTAAATATTCATGTTTGCATATTATATAATCCAGTGTTTTTGACAATGCATTTTTTGACCCAAATGACATGAATGTCAGTACTTACTCTTCAGGATCATCTTCAAGTGCAGCCCGTCTAACAACATACACATGAGCAGTTCTTCTATTGTATTCAAACAATTGTTCAACTCCAACATCATCAAGGAGATCTATGAATATGCTTGAATCAATCTCAATAGTAAACTTTACGTCATTTCCATTATCACCATGGTGAACTTCTGAAGATATAAATGATCTTAGCTTTGTATATTTCATTCCTTTTGTTATGGTTCTTGCAATTACATTTTCACCCTCACACTTCATACCACTATCAGGATTCCTCACAAATTCACCACCACAGTGGAAGAAACAAAATAATTTTTCTCTAGAACTACTTTTTATCTCTTATATTAACCTGTAATGAAGAAATTAATCTACGTAAATGTTCACATATAAAAGCCCAACTTTTATTTCACATAACACAGAGTTCAACATAAACAACTCAAAGTTCATTTTCACACAACAAATACTCCAACGTCTTTGACAGCAAATTTTCTTCATATTGGGAGTCATATTGTATTCAATTCACATGTCAAAATTCAATATTAACAGGTCAATCATAGATATTGTACATATATTCTCACCTAAAAGTACATGTTATTCAAGTTTATCATTAGGCTAAGTTCAATGGAATGCTCAAGTTAGGCAAATATGACACAACATAATATTCACTATGCACAATACAGAGTTCATATATTCTCACCTGAACCAACTTAGTGGTTCAGCAACCTTTAGCTTATATCAGTAGCTTAGGCTTCCTTAACAAATTTCACAAGTAGGCAAATCATGTATAACACAATATCTACTATGCATAATATAAGGTTCATTTATTCTCACCTGAAAGTCCATGTTATTCCAATTTATTATTAGGCTAGGCTTAACAAAAGGAATGCTCAAGGTAAGCAAATAAGGCACAACATAATATCCACTATGTACAATATGAAGTTCATATATTCTCACCTGAACGTTATGTGATTTCAATTTATCATTAGACTACGCTTAACATAATGCACATCTCAACGTCCAAAAAAAAAAACAGCTCAAAGTTCATTTTTGTACAACAAATACTCCAACATTTTTGGCAGAAGATTTTCTTCATATTGGATCATATTTCATTCAATTCACATATAAAATTCCAATATAAATAAGTCAACCATCATCATAGTGCAACAACTAACCCACTTTAAAAGTTTCATGGCTAAAATGGTTCAGCAACCTTTAAAATCACAAATAAAATTCTAAATTAACAATATCACATTTAACTTTGTAGAACAAAAAGTCCATCTCATATACACCCTACTATCTCATGTAAAACCCCCTTTAAATGCTTTCATTAAATGAACCACTACATATTAAATGAATGAAGATCATCTCTGTTGTCACTTCACCAGTAACTCACATACAGTAATGGAAAACCTTAAATTATTTCTACCCTTAAATGATTTATGCAGCAACAATGGATGTCTCTCATTTTTACAGCAAGAACAGTAGAAATCTTAGCTCATTTCTACTGCAACACCGTTAGAAACTAGGAAACCTCCACCGTAGACTATGAAATCATCAAAGCACTGCTTAAGATGGAGAGATTTTAAAATCTACGCACCTTGAAAGTTACTCCTCTTCATTAGAGATCAGAAGCCTTCCCATTCTCCAACTGAATACCCATCCCCGTGTCTGTCATTCTTTCTCTGCGTTGGATTTCATTTCTGTCCATTAAGGGTAAAAAAGTATTTTCACTCTGAAAAAAAATTGCACTTGAGGCCTCAAGGCTTGCAGAGGAATTTCAAAATCATTTAAGCCCTAAGTGAAATAAACTCTGTTTTTAAGGCCCTTAATGTCATTCCTCCTTTTTTTTCCAGGTGAGACGATAGAATATAGGGTGAACTTCTCTCATTTTTTTAATTTTTTATTATCTTTTCAATACAAATCTAAATCAATTAAATTAAATTTATATTTTTAAAAATTATTAAATTTAAATTTTTAAATATAATTTAATGATTTAGATCTGTGCTCTCCTCTCCTCTCCCTTATAGAGGAGAAAATCTTTATAGAGGAAAAGATTTGACTCAACGGATTGTGGGGAGAAGCACCACAATTGGATGTTTCTTTGGTAAAAATTATCAAGCTTGCTTGTAAAAATTTTAAAAATAGAATTTTCCCCCAATTAAATGTTTTATTTTCACTGTAGTCCCCCATTCATTACTTTGCAGATCCGTCGCCGGCATCATACATGATTGCATGTCTATTAAAGAACTTCCAACTTACAAATATTTTTTTTGTTTGCTATTTTTAACACAGAAATATCCCAAGAAAAAAAAAACATAATGTGAAAAAAAACATATTGCTACAAATAATTATGATATTTTTTTCTACTTTACCTTAATATAGTTCTACAAATAAAATCATATTTCCACAAATAATTATGATATTTTTTCTACTTTACCTAAATTATGATATCTTTTCTACAAATAATTAAAATAAAGTTCTATTTTTATCATAATTTGAATTTGAATAACATAAACAGACATTGAAAAAAAAATGAATGAACAAAAACGAGGAGTTTGCTTCCCTTCATGGTAATAGAGAAAACGATGCAAATATGGATCGTTTAATTAAATTTAATGATATAAATTTGATAGCTTTTAAAAGAATAAATTAATTTGTATTAAACTGCATGATTAGACGTGCAGTAAAAGCATAATAGAGAAAAAAAATGCAAAGGAGAAACCAAGTTCCGAAAACAAAATGCGCCTCACACATGTATTTTTTTTTAAAAAAATGAAATATCTATGCAATGGGATGGTTGCCTTAACAGAAATAAAATAGGATTATATTGCATGAAGCCATAAAATTCAAAATATTTAAGTTTTATAAAATTATTATTATTAGTTAATAGGGTTAAAATGCAAATCTATCCTAAATGTTTTCAAAAAAGAGCAATTAGTATTTTAAAATTTTTAAAAACGCAATGTCATCCTCAATGTTTTTTAAAATGGAACAATTTTGGTCTGCCATTTTATAAGGCCCACGTTGATCGTTAAGTTTATTGCTTGACCATTACATTGAAATTTGGCTTGCAACATTAGTTGCCACATCAGATGTGAATATTTAAAAATTAAAAATATAATAAAAATGGAAACACTCACAATATATGGATTCTTACTTCATAACTTAAACCCAATCTTCATTCCTCCTCCTCCATCAACGAAAATCATGCTATGAATTTTGAAAATAGTCATACTGAACTAATTGTTGGAAACAGCCACCAAGATCTTAGTCTAAAATAAAACTGATCATCAATCTGAACTAACAAATGTTCAAGGAAAAACAAACTTGAAATCAACCCAGCGGGGCTAGTCCCAACTACTCCGATCCGATAGACTTGAATGGAAAGCTAAAGCAAAGCGCTAGCGTTGGATGCTAGTGTCATAATGGTCCAACAAGAGCATCTCTTTCACTCCATGGAATTGCTTGCGTCCTCTAATCAACTCTTCTGCCTGATAATGCCTTCTCACCTAAACTTTAATGTTGTTCCTATTATGTTGTTTGATCTTCTCCATGCAAGCCACATACGAAACAAAACCCTTAGGTTTTGTTAGGTTCGAGGGAAGAAGAAGGGAGGAGAGATGAGGGATTTTAATAAAAGAGAAGGAAGGGGTTTTAATGGACGAAAATGATGATATCTTACTTGGTCCAGAAGGGAAAGAGAAAATAAATATATATAGACATCTTTGTTCTTATACAAGTAAAACTGTTTTTCCCTAATAAAATATAGTTATGAATATTTTTAATATATAACTATAAATGTATAATTATATATAGTTCACACGCACATATATATAATGCCAATAATGTATTCAAAATTTATAAATCAAAAGTATGAGCAAGCAATAAGTTTATTAACAAAACATGAAAAACCATACATGAACAGCAAAAATAAAATAAAAGAAGGAAAAAAAATGACGACACAAGTTATTAGGAAGAATGTAATCTGAATAGAAAGACACATAACTCTAAAGAAATAAAAAGATAGGGACATTTTTTAATTATCAAATTATAATAAGGACATATTAGTCCAATACAATAAAATTATACCAGTACTTTCCTCATCTCCCTATTTGGAAGGGGAGGAGGGGTAAATTTAAAAAAAAAAAAAGTTCGTCCCCTCCCCTTCATTTTTACAAAATCAAGCAAGGAGAGGAAAACAAAATCTCTCCTCTCTCATCTCCCAAACCAAGTATATTCTTAAAATTGAAACAAGATCTCCAACTACAAAAACAAAAGGCGCAACCTAAAAAATCAAAACATAGTCTACATTTGCAAAAGGAAAAAGCAAATCCTTAGATCGAAATCCAAGAAATCAAGAAAGGAATAATTTTTAATATAAAATTAGAATGGGTTCTTCTTCCCTACTCACGTCCATCCTCCTTAATTACCTATTCTCATTATTGCCATTGCCATTGCCATTGCCATCACAGTTGCTCGTGTTCTTCTCCAAAAGGCTCGCTGTCTCAAAGAAGAAGAGAGAAGATGAAGAGGCCATAAGTGTGAAGTTCAAATATGGGTAGAAAAATGTGAAGCTATAAGCGAGAAGAGGAAGTGATTGAAGATGAGAAGATTATAAGAGGAAGTAGATCGTTATGGGAAGAGGAAGTAGAATGTGGTTGAAGAACTAAAAGCTCTGCGTGTGTGTGTGTGTGTGTTTTTTTTTTTTTTTACTTCTTAAATTTCTATAATATATGCTGTGTGGCATATGACAATTAAACTTAATAGTCAAAGTCTAAATTTGTTAGTCAAGATGGAATTGTTCTATTTTGATCAACATTGGGTGATATTGTGTTTTTAAATACTGTGGGATATCAATTGGACTTTTTTAAAAATGTGTAGGATATATTTATATTTGAGCCTAGTTAATATCCTATCAATTTCACTTTAAAACATTTTTAACATTACTCAAATGTAATAAAAAAAGGGAAAATTTCATGTGGGGACCCTTGACCATAGATAATGAAAAAAGGACCCTGATTTTTTGAAATTTCACTAAAGGACTCATATGGGTTTTCATTCAAATTTGTGACAGAAATGATAAAATTGACATCATTTAAATGAACAATATAAATAATTTATTCATTCTCATATTGTATATTGTCTATTTACTTACAGAATGTTATTTATTTTCTTACTTTACTTGTTTACAACCCTAGTTTCATTTGATTTCACTACAAATGTTAGTTTCATGATAAAACGATTTGTTCGTTATCATA